GCCGATGTCAAGGATCAGAGAAGACAGGATAAGCTGGAGACAAAGCAAAGATTCGTTAACCAATCAGACAGATGACTAAAAATCACACCCCAAAACTGGTCTAATTATTCGGCCTGGGTGTGAAAAATTTTAAAACACTGGCTAATACATAGGCCGGTCTGAGAGGGGCAATCAGGGCAGTAATAGCTGGTCTCAGCTCTTATGCCCCTCTTGTAACACACCCTGCACCTTTTCTGGGGGTTTTGTTTTTTAGGGGTTGGTGGAATCTTAAAGCAGAAGTGACCTGCCTCCATTCTTCTGCTAGGCTCCACTGATGGTCTCCTTGTGTGGCACTCAAGTAGTCCAGAAATGAGCTCAAACTGGAATGAAAGAAAAGTGCTTTTCAGTCCAGCATTTGCCTTTTTAAAAATGACAAAGGCATTGTGGATTGCCATCTGCATCAGATATATGCCCACTTTTTTTATACCAAGGCCTGGTCTTTCGCATGATCAAATACGGCTGCATCAGTTGATCGGACTGGTCAACGTCCCCCATATGCCGATTATATTGCCGTATGCAGACTGGCACTCGGTTACATTCCTCTCTGCCACGAACTGCGACCCTCCGAGTGTTTTCACCATGGATGGTGGTTAAGATGAAAACATCCTTTTTATCCCTGTACTTGAGTGCCAGCAGTTCATTCTGGCAGAGAGCTGCTGTTTCCCTCCGTTTCATTTTTTTGTTCGCTAGAGTCTTTGGGAAACCCACAGGCCACGGTTTCGAAGCAGTACAACATTTTTAACAGTGGGATGCTATTATTAGAGAAAATGTATTGATACTTACCGTAATTTTCTTTTCCTGGCTATTATTCATGGCATCATTTAACATATGGGTTTAGCTTCTCCCTCCAACCCTCAGGACAGTTAACACAATCAATTAAACAATTAAGCCTACCTTCCCCTAGTATATTAGGTACCTCAGTCTAGTAACAAGACAAATAAACCAAGAGAGGGTGGGAGACCAAATGCTGCCATGAATAATAGCCAGGAAAAGAAAATTACGGTAAGTATCAATACATTTTCTCTATTCCTGGCTAATCATGGCAGCATTTAACATATGGGATTACCAAAGCAATAACCACTCAGGGAGGGTAAGTCATGCTACAAAAACTGTTTAATATCCACTTAAGGCTTATAAGAGTTCAGGACCGATAGGCCAAACTCTGAATCAGAACGAGATGAGATATCCACTCTGTAGTGGTGTACAAAGGTTTTTAAAGATGACCAATTGGCAGCTTTACAGATGCTCTCCGCAGGAACTCCTGACTCTGCAGCCCATGAAGTAGCAATGGACCTTGTGGAATGTGCCTTGATGTCCTTGGGAACTGGAACCTGTTTAGCTCTGTAAGCTTTAGAAATAGCCTGAACCGTCCAAGAACGAAGGGTTGCGACAGAGGCAGCTTCACCTTTACGAGAACCCCAAGGTATCACAAACAATTGGGTAGACTTCCTCCAATCACCTGAGCGTGAAATATATGTGGAAAGACACCTCCTTAGATCTAGCTTATGACATCTTTCTTCCTCAGGAGACGATGGCTCCTGAAAATACCCTGGCAGGACAATCTCTTGATTCAGATGAAAGGATGTAACCACCTTAGGAAGGAACTCAGGTCTAGGCCGTAGCACAACTCTATCATCGAAGAAGGTAGTGAACGGTTCTTCAGGCGACAGTGCTCTAATATCTGACATTCTCCTAGCAGATACCAAGGCCAGTAACAACAGGGTCTTGAGAGAAAGAACCTGCATAGAGACCTCATCAATAGGTTCGAAGGGATGTTCCGTCAAGGCCTGCAGAACCAGAGGCAAATTCCAAGGAGCAGAGAAAACCTTGATAGGAGGTCTGATCCTAATGACTGCTTTGAAGAAGCGAATTACAATAGGATTCAATGCCCAATGAACACCGGAAAGAGCTGAAAGAGCAGAGCAGTGCACTTTAAGCGTGTTAAGTTGAAGGCCCCTCTCCAGGCCTGCTTGCAGGAAACCCAAAACCTGAGACACAGAAGGGGAACCTAATTCTTGAACCGTGGAATTACACCATCGAGCAAAGGTTTCCCATACCTTATGGTACGTAGAAGAAGTAGAAGGATTCCTGGAACGTAACAGGGTAGAGATAACCTGGTCCGAAAGGCCAGGTTCAACTAGAGACTGCCTCTCAATAGCCATGCATGGAGCCTGAATTTGTGAGGCTCCGGATGAAACACTGGACCCTGAATCAGCAGGTCTTCTGAGACTGGAAGTTCCCAAGGCAGGTCCACTGATAACCTCTGTAACAGGGGAAACCAAGGGCGACGAGGCCAGAATGGAAGTACAGCTATCACCTTGCAATGTTCCTTGGAGATCTTTCTCAGAACAGCGTGGATGAGGGGAATTGGAGGAAAAACGTAAGCCAGATCGAATACCCAATTGATGGATAGAGCATCCTGAGCAACCGCCTTTGGATGGTATCTCCTCGACACAAAGCATGGAACCTGCGCATTCCGAAAGGTCGCCATGAGGTCTACTTGGGGAAGACCCCACTTCTGGACCAACCGAGCGAAGATCCTCCTGGAAAGTTGCCATTCTGAAGCCTCTATCCGATGTCTGCTGAGGAAATCCGCTATTACATTCTCCTTCCCTGGGAGATAGATGGCACACAGGCCTTCCACATGATTCTGAGCCCAGGTCATAATGGGAACTATCTCTCTCTCATCAGGGCTACACTCCTTGTTCCGCCTTGATGGTTTATGTAGGCAGCAGCCGCTTTGTTGTCCACTCTCAACTTGACCCAGCAATGCCTGATGAGATGCTGAAAATGAAGAAGCGCCAGAAAAGTTGCTCTTAGCTCCCTGATGTTGGAAGGCAAGCATTGAGTTCTTGGAGGCCAATTTGCTTGAAAAAATTGATTGCCTAAATGCGCCCCCCAACCTGTCAGACTGGCATCTGTCGTAATGACCACCCAATCTATTTCCCGCAAGGGGAACCCTCTGGAGAGATTTTCCCACGACATCCACCAAAATCAAAGGAATGCGAATCAGCGTCTCCCACTCCCTCGAGTCGGTCCTGAAATTTTTTAGGAAAAATTGTTGAAGAGGGCGAAGGTTCCACTGAGCCCATCTGACAAGTTCTATCGTAGAGGAAAGAGTCCCCAGAAGTCTCATAAACTCTCTTGCCGAGGCTGAAGTCTTTAGTCTGAAGTCCCTTATCCGATCTCGAAGTCTGATCTTTCTGTCGTGTGAGAGGGATACAATCGCTGTGTCTGTATTGAAATTTGCTCCCAGGAATATCAGTTCTCTTGAAGGATGCAAGTGACTCTTCTCGTAATTGATGAGCCAACCGAAATGAGAGAGAGTGTCGAGGACTAATTGCCTGTGTTGGAATATTGATGCTAGGTCCGGAGCCACTACCAGGATGTCGTCCAGGTAGTGAAACACCTTGGTGGAGGTGGATATTCGTCGAATTCCAGATGATAACCTCCGGTGATAATGGATCTTACCCAAGCATCTGGAATTATTTCCCAGGCCCTCTGAAAGAATGAAAGACGTGCTCCCACACGAGGAACCTGGAGTAAGCCACCTTCAGAATTGCTTGTTGGGGCGAAAGGAAGAGGTCTGCGTCTTGCCCCTAGAGGATTTCCCATTCAGGCCGCTCTTCCAATTGGAATTCCTTGAGAATTCTCTACCTGGCCTGTAAGTCTTACTTTCCCTAAAGTAGCCTTGATCCCTAAAAGGTCTACGGTCCAGACGAGGTCTCTTTGGACGCCTATCTTGTGGCAGCATGACCTGTTTAACCTCGGCCGCCTTTTTAATCGCTTCATCCAGAGGTTTCCCAAAAAGCACTTCTCCCATAAAGGGAAGTGAGCATAAATTATTCTTGGATGACAGGTCTGCTCCCCAGGATCTCAGCCAAAGCGCCCTTCTAGCGGTGACTGAATGTGCCATAACCTTAGAAAGAATTCTAATGAGGTCAGTGGAGGATTCCAAAAGCCAGTCACTGGCGAGTTTGATATCCCTTAAGGATTCCGCCATCTGACGTCTACTGACCCCTTTATCTATGTCATCCTCCAAGTCAAGCAACCAGGAACGCATGGCTCTAGACAAAGCCGAAATGGACACAGCTGGATGGCAACCTAAACCCGCTGTCATGAAAGCTTTAGCTAAATCGGCATCAATCCTTTTATCCATGGGCTCCTTAAGGGAAGCATTGCTATCAATTGGTAGCGTGGATCTTTTAGCAACCTTAATGATAGGAGCATCAACTTTGGGGACCGTAGTCCACAATCTGGAATCCTCCTCTTTAATCGGATATAACTTCGAAAGCCGACCCTGACTAGTAATCCTCTTACTAGGAATTTGCCACTCGTTCCTCATCAGGTCTTTAATAGAGCTGTGGACTGGAAAGGAAGGTCTTTTCTTATGTAAATCTCCAAAGTGTCTGTCAGAAGCTGAACATTCTCTGGTTTCTTCCGGCAAATCCAATGTTCTTCTAACAGCCATAATCAAATGCTTTGGAGTCCAAGGAGCAAGGTTGTTCCATATACTCCTCTTCACTGGACGAGATTGGCTCCAAATCCAGGTAAGATGAAGTTTGTCTGTATTCATCGTCAGACTGATCTGAATCCCTGCTGAAGTTTTCCCCTCTTGATCTCTTAATCTTGTGGGATTCAGCAATTCCTTCAACTACTGCCTGCTTAATCCAATAAGCAATATCCTTGGCTGAGGAGGTAGAGGCTTGCGGTGACCTCTGGCGATCAGATTCTCCTGCGGCCATGTTTAAGCATTTTCTGCAGAGCCTGCAGTTATCCAAAGGCCTTGCTCCACATCCAGGGCAGGCTGCCGGCTTTTCCCTTCTCCTCGATGGGATCTGGGACAGGACCGGTCACGAGGGCTGTAAGATACAGAAGTCATAAGACTGTACCCTCTGTGCACTCTTTTTAGTAACGTGAAGAAACCAAGAAAAAATATTGCTCACCTATGACCTATAGCAGATCTCGTTGATCTTGCAGAAGGGGATGAAGGATCCATACTGACTGTAGGGCTAAGAATGTTAAAATAATAAGAAAAGTATTCCCAGCCCAATATTATGATGATTTTAAAATGGTAAAAAAAGTAATTCTCTTACCTGCAGAGCTTTAAGAACAGTCTACTAGAGCACTGTATCTTTAAAGGGAACGGAAACGAGCGTTTTTTAAGCTAAATACCGCCATTTCAAATTTCCCGCTCTGTACCTTTAAATGATCGCGCATGCGCACTTCGGTCGCGAGATCGCTGAACCGCCATTTTGGAAAGGGGCAAACTTCACTCTGGGTCCGGTCGGATGCATTGCGAATGCGCGGGCGTCTTACCGTTATGCTGATCGTCTGATCGAGGTCTGCAGCACACACTGGACGGCAGAGGATTCCCATAGCCTGTGGAACTAACCACCCAGGCTCCCAGGGGTTCCCAACTCCATGGAGATTGGGCTACATGTGCCTGGGCTTCCTGAGGAGGGAGGCTGACCTCCAAAGGGACAAGACCATATCAAACATGGTCAGGTGAGTAAAAAATCATTCAGAAGAAACTGAAAAAAGGAAGAAAAAAAAATATTTAAACTGTCCTAGGGCTAGGAGGACAGGAAAAGACTGAGGTGTGGGGGATACTGGGGTACCTAATATACTAGGGGAAGGTAGGCTTAATTGTTTAATTGATTGTGTTTCCTGTCCTGAGGGTTGGAGGGAGGAGCTAAACCCATATGTTAAATGCTGCCATGATTAGCCAGGAAAAAAGTTATCGATGTATAAATGATAACCTTTATTAAGTAGTGGCATTAAGTCCCAGACAATTTTCCCACTTGTCCCTACTATATCTGGGGGATCAAGGTGGCTATCCCTTCCTTCATATACACGGAAGGTGTATACGTAGCCATTGCCACTTTCACACAGTTTGTAAAATTTGATCCCATATCGGGATTTTTTGGATGGGATATATTGTCTAAACCCCAGTCTTCCCTTAAACTTCATAAGGGACTCGTCAATGGAAATGTTTTTATTGGGGGTATATATAGTGGCAAATTTACTGTTAAAGTGGGCAATTAAAGGGCTTATTTTATAAAGATCATACTGCGGATCACCTTTTGGGGGGCACTTGTTATTGTCACTAAAGTGCATAAATCGCAGTATGTCTTCATATCTTTCCCTTGTCATTGTCTCGGCAAAAATGGGGTATTGCAAATAGGATGTTTAGACCCTAATTGTGGGCTTTTTAATTAGCCCCATTAACATGGTCAGTGCCCAGAATTGTTTCAATTCTGGCACACTAGTTGGGTTTCATCTCTCTTTCCTGGAGATAAGAGAGTCTGGATTGTGTGCCAGATACTGCTTCGCATAGAGATTAGTCTGGGTGACTATCTCCCCAAAAATCTCATCCCCTCAAGATCAGCTGCATAACATCCAGCGCACTATAGCCAGACAGGTCAGCCTGTATGCCAGGATTGGCTGTAAACACTGGGATGTCTGTGGAAAAATTATTAGGGGTACCCAGTCATCTGCGCCATGTTAAGCATTAGGGGAATCGTCGATTTTTTTTTTTTATTTTTTTTATTTTATTTTTTTTTTTTTTTCTGATGGTCCTGCAGTATCTGGCACATAGTCCCTGTCCCCTGCGTCACTCTTTGAGGCAGTGTCTGTCGCCCCTGAGTCGGCCGCTAACAGGGCATAAGCCTCCTTTGCACTATACTTCCTGAACATTGTTAAAGGACCACTATAGTGCCCTGAGGGTGCCCCCACCCTCAGGGTCCCACTCCCGCCCGGCTGGGGAAAGGGGTTAAAACTTACCTTTTTCCAGCGCTGTGCGGAGAGCTCTCCTCCTTCTCTCCTCCTCCGTTCCTCCTCCTGGGCTGAATGCGCACGCGCGGCAAGAGCTGCGCGTGCATTCAGCCCGTCGCATAGGAAAGCATTTACAATGCTTTCCTATGGACACTGGCGTGGAAGCACGCAAGCGCCTCTAGTGGCTGTCAATGAGACAGCCACTAGAGGATTAGGGGGAAGGCTTAACCCATTCATAAACATAGCAGTTTCTCTGAAACTGCTATGTTTATAAAAAAAAAAAAAAATGGGTTAACCCTAGAAGGACCTGGCACCCAGACCACTTCATTAAGCTGAAGTGGTCTGGGTGCCTAGAGTAGTCCTTTAAATACAGTTAACACAGCTAACAAAACTTTAACTAAATAACGAAACTTTTTTTTTTTTTTAATTTCCTAATACCCACTAAATTCCACCCACCCAAGTAACTAAATCATAAACTAATAAAATCAAATAACATTTAACCCCTTAGGGTTACAAAAAACATAAAATTTAACCCTTGAAAGTAAAAAAAAAAAAATCACAGTAAAGTACTGTGACCTGTATATTGATCACTGCTAGCAGGGAAAGGGTGATCAAGCAGCAGGGAAAGGGTTAATTATTATTTTATTTATTTTTAATAAAGGGGAAAGGGATTTTAATAGAACTTAACTATTCTTCTGGGACACAATGTTGCAACGATCCGTCTCTCTCCACTTCACAAACCCACACGAGGTGGAGGGAGGTGGATCAGATATCCCAGCAGCATTGTGACCGCTGTGACACAGCGATCACATGGGCTGGGATATCGGGATTTGCTGTTGCTGGTCTGCCCCTGACTCGGAGGCACCCAGCAACAGCGTAAACCCGCGATCGGGGGTTAATTTTAACGCGTGACGGATGAGGTCCGTCACTCGTCATTAACGCTTTCCCCTGAGTGACGGACCTTGTCCGTCACTCGTCCTTAAGGGGTTAATGTGTCATATCTGTCCAGTGTGGTCAGTCCCTCATTTTCTGATGTGTTAATGTAAAGTTATCATCACACAGAGTGATTTTTCTGAACCCTGCACCCATGTTAGTTCCTATTCTAGGCCTTCAAAATTAAAATCAAAATTTAATATTCAAGACAGTCAATTAATCCTGTAAATTCCCTAAAGCAGCAGTAGGCAATCTTTGGCACTCCAGATGTTGTGTACCACATTTCCCCTTCTGCTTTGCCAGCATTATGAGAGATCTAGTCTACCACTGCTGTAGACAGCTTTTGTATAGCTATAGTAATGTATCCCCTTACACCATTCATCATCACCTGGGCTTGGTTTCACTCAAGGATGGAATGGTTACTTGGGCACAGGATATGCCTACATTACATTACAGACCTTGCTTGGTACATTCACAGTCGGGTTATAATGCTTTCATTTGACTTTTGACTACAAAACTTTGACAGTAAGGGTGTGGGTGATTTTTTTTTTTTTTTTCTAATCATATTGTTCATATTGGAGTTGTATATCAGATGTCCTCTTCTAATCAAGTTGTAGCAAAGTTTTAGTAATATTAAAGACATATGGTTTCTATGATCTGTGCTTTTTTTGTTTTAGAATAAATAAAAAAGAATTCAGCTTGGAAGATATTTACACAAATAAGAACTACAAGTCTCCCCCTGCAGCCCGGTAAGTATGGCAAGAAATTGGGCAATTTCCTACTATCCTTAAACTGTATGTGTAAGCATTTTTTTCCTTTTGTGTGTTTTGTGCACAAATGTTTTGTAATCACCATTTACACTGGCCTCCTATTCTCATCCAGTCATTCCTATGTGGAATTATATTCTGTAATCCATTATGGTGTGCCTATGCATTTAAGTCCTATTATGGCTCCTTTGAATTTCTAATCATTCAGTTTTAAGTAACTCCTCAAAGAGACTCTAACTTCAGCAGCATTCAGAATGTACACGAAGAGTGCAGCTAGGATTCATTTTTTCCTGTTGAATATGTTGACAAATGTAAAAAATGAGTTTCTCACACTGCCTAAAAAACAAAATGTCTGAATGCACATGTTCTAAGGCACTGATGGCGAACCTTTTTGAGCCCAAGTGCGCACACTGCAATACATGGCAACTTTTTTTTCCTCAAAGTGCCAACACGGCAATTAAACCTGAATACTGAGGTTTAAGTTTAGAAAAAACAACTCGTTGTCCAAACTAACATATTTTGTTTAAAAAAAAAAAGATACAATTTTTAAATCCTATAAATAATAGATAAAATTAAGCTTATATTTATTAGTATCTCAACAAATACAATACATACACACACAGACTGCTGAACACATTCACACAGAGTCCGCAGAATACGAATATTTAATATATATGCAACAATATAGACTGGGATGGCTTTTATAAACCAAAATACAGGCAAAGTAATATGTTATATATATATAATATAATATTGTTAGCATTAAATACTCTTTAGTTGTTGAGACCTCTTAGAAAATGGTTGTTACCCAGTGTGTGGATAGGCGATTCTCTAGATACATATGGGAAATATATACATTTCCAAACACAATAGTGAATTACCTAGTGGCAGTGTTTGTATGTGTGTGTGTATATGTATACACATACATACATACATACATACATACACATATATGTATGTGTATGTATGTATATCTTTATGTATGTGTTTCATTTATCTATATTTATCTTTGATTTTATTGAGTCACTTTGCTTTGTCTTGTTTTGCAGTAGTCTGGAAACTATATTTGAAGAGCCCAAAGAGAAGAATGGGATTTTAGTCTCCATCTCCCAGCAGAAGAGAAAGCGCATCTTGGAATTTCGTGATTGCACAGTGCCCAAGCTAAAGCGTGCAAGGGGTAAAACGAAAGTTGTTACAGGCTTCAAGCGTGGGCGGAAAGCTGCAATGGAGGAGGTTCAGCAAATAGATGCACTACTAGTCCAAAAATTGATGGATCTGGAGAACTTCCTGTTAGAGGAAGAAGCTGTAGAAAGAGCCTCAAAGGCTGCTGAGATACAGAGTTGAAAATAATCAACCAAAACCTCTCCAACCCTCCGATTTAATATGGTTTTATTGAAGATAAGTTTAGTTTCTGAAGGGATGAGTGCTTTGTTGGTCATTATCTTCCCTTCTATGGTTTTACGGGTATCATGAATTGCCCCATACAGCTAAATGGGAATCCAAAGTGCAGTTATCGAAGATAGTTTTGTTCTGCCATTAAAGTATGCTCAAAGTCAAATATCCATGTTTGAGCAATCTACTAGCCTAATGTTCTGGACATTGGAGACACCACATGTCCTTATCCTTAATTACAATGTCCTAGGCATTGAGAATCGCATTATGAAATTGGAGCACCATTGTTTTTGGACTTTTACTTTCGCTGTAGAGCTCCCTACAATTGCCATCTTTGCTCTGGTTCCACACTTTTTGGACGATCTACTATTTCACATTTTAACCTCCTGCACTGGGAATTGATGAAGATCATTAATGCACTTCTTTAAATATGTCTATACATAGTTTTAAATTGTAAAGTTCACTTTTTTCATAAACCTGTTAGTTATTGTAATCAAGTAAATAATAAGTTTTTGTATGCAAAGAAAAGTAGGCCTTCACTCCTTTGACTTAATCTACACAAAGTTGTGGGTCCCAGGCCCTGTTAAGAGTTTTATGGTTTTGTTGAGAGTAGTTGGTATTATCACACCAGGCCACGTCTACTCTATTTAACAATACCCCAATACTTCCATGCCATGGGGGAAATATGCACATAATACTGCCAGTTGAATATTAACCAATAACTGGCTTCTCCCCATATTCCACATTTTAGAGATACCGTGGGAGGCTTTGGTACGAGAAGAGGAGGCCATGGTTTACACATTTTGGCACCCTAGGTTGATCATGGATTTTTGTTGCAGTAAAAAGCTAAATTTAAATTTTTGTAATGTTTTATCTTATAAGGGGTGAAATGTACTGTATTCTCTCTATGGATTTAAGTACAGTTCAAGAAACACTCCAGGGGTGGCTTTTACCACCTTTTAGTATGTTAAACAAAAGCGGATTTTAAAATCCCCTAAAAAGCTCACCTGCAGCTTATTCTGAAGCCCACTTAGGTTACAAAGTGACCCAAAAACCCGATTGCATCATTGAAACTTTTCGAAGCACTGAGTTGTTTGCACAGGATCAGTACAGCGAACAGGTCTATTCTTGTTGCAGTTCCCTGCAGGCAAGGTTTTGCTTCTATTTATGTTTTATGGAGAAAAAAAAAAAAAAATGTGCATTTTAAAACAATACTGCTGCACTCTTCCAACAATCTCACAATAACCTCAGCGTATATTGTTGGAAAAAATGGACTATGAGGGAAGAGTTACATAGTTGGTTGAGGGTGGGAGAAGGTTGTTGGTTTTTGTCTTAGACTGAATTTGTCATGATACAACCAAGTCTGCATGATTATTTGCATGACACTATCAGTTTTGGTGCCTGGAGTGTCCCAATAAGCTCCTCATGCAGTGTATCTAATAGAATGTTTATTGTTCGCTTCCTTGCTGTATGATTCCAGTGTTACTGTAAACACGGTGACTGGAGCATTAACAGTGGTGGGGAAAAAAACAGCTGAGGTGCCGATAGCTTATCTCCTTCTACATTCTAAAGTTTTTCCTGTCTGGTGTACAGTGACATTCCTCCTTGCTCTGCTCCCACTAGCTAGCCGCTGACGTAGTGAAGGCTTAAGTGATCTGTGTGTGGTAGAGTGATAAGAGTGGTGTGCCATGTGTATTCTGGATCATGCGCTTTCTGTTAATTTGAGATAATTTTGTTTTTAATTTATGAAGTTATAATAAATGCCAATTGCTCATGTGTGTTCATTTGTAGATCTTTTTGGGGGGGAAAAATAATTTTTTATTTTTTTTTGTGTGTGAAAACATGAAGTGGGGAATTGTATTGTAGTCATTGTCAAGCAAATATACTATAAAATCCATATAATGTAGCACAGATCCTACTCATTTGCAACACAAATTATAATATTAATATAAATATATATTCTTTACTATGCACACACACTTGCAGAGTTAAACTATTTAGTACTTATTCCGTTATTTCTCTTACAATGGGCTTATGACATGCCAAAAATAACATTATTTAGTCCTAGAAGTGTTTACATGATTAAGTGTGACTCTTGGGACTCCCTATGATCAAACTGGATCCTTCTTTGACAATACAAGTAATTTCTTAGGTTTAGTATAATACACTATAAATGTCTCTTATTTTGTTATTTTATTTTTATTTAGTTATTTTGAAATAGTATTTAAACGCAATATATAATTGGGATATAGTATATCAGGGTTATTCACTCAAGTTCAATGTCTCTGAACCGAAAGGTGCAAAACCGTTCACTGCTGTAAAAGGCCATTTGGACTGTAAAATCCGGACTTGATGAAAATAATAAATGTCCATATTTTGTAAATCAGGCCCTGAATGTGTCTGAATTTGATCCGAACAATTTTCCTGCCCGGCAGCGGTAGCAGGAATATTTATTAAAAATCCTAAGGGGTCAGCAAGGCTCCCAACTGCTATAAATTGCAGAAAATTGTTTGTATAAGAACTATAGAGTATGACCAACCAATGGATGTTGAAAATTATCATCCAGTTAGGGCTGATAAAAGGGTAAACCTTTATTTTTTCCTTAGGTACTTTTAAATTTGAATTCTTTACAGTGAGAGAATGTGTCCACATAGTAATACAAATTCAAAACCTTGTAATGTATATCACCCAATGTGTGGGTGGATGTGCTACCTGCTGGCTATGTGTAATGTGTGAGAATGTGGTGCATTTTGTCTTCTTCCTGCTTAGTTTTCTGCATGAAGTTGGGGAAAACTGCACACACCACATCCCAAGACTTTACAGACAGACAACATACACCATACCCACCTACATTGCAGACAGACAACACGTACAACACACATAGCCAGCTCACGTACTATGAAGAGAGACAATTTTCCTGCAGCCATCCCTGGTGACAGTTGGGGAACTAACATTTCTTGTTGACGATGATAGCTCTGCCCAGGCGTAAGAAAACTGAGACAAAGTAGTCCATACTTTTTTTGTATAATTTTTAACTGGTTTGGGATTACAGTGAAATTCCAATTCAATACAACTATTTCATTATGATTTTATATTTTTCTGAAGTACTCCTTTGCAATTTGGGGGGTAGTTGACAGTGCCTCTTTAGATCCAAATGAACAGTCCAAATCAAAAATGTATTACTATAGCAGACTTTTAGAACTTTTCAAAATCAACTTTTTTTTTTTTTTTTAGTTTTTCATTTAAATGTTTACACCCCTGCATTGTCTGAACAAGAGTATGGCAGGCAAGAAAGTGACATACTCAAAATAGCAAGGGAAATAGTCCGTCCAAAGTGACAGACTAAAGAGAGAAGAAAATGAGGTAAATAGGAGAGAGAAGGAAGACAAAGAGGGACAAAGCCAGAAGTGTGGGAAGACAAAGATAGAATTTATAATATTGTATGATAGAGATATATATAGATAGAGATATAATTAGAGCAGGATTATCAACGCAGCGCTGAGGTAGTGTTAATAACAGTATTTTTAAAAGTTTTGTTACAAGCTATACACAAGGGTACTAAGTAGTATGGCCGAGTAATTAGGCAGGTTGGCGAGTGACCACTGGAGGTGAGCAGACTTCTGTGCTAAAAACAGGCTCTGTGTGAGGGTATGTGGGGAGGGAAGGTAGTAAAGGGTAAATTGGCTGCAGTGTGAAGCTAGGATCTTTACATATCACTAAAACAATTTGCAGAGTGCAGCTCAGCTTTTGAGAATACAGGGTAATGCAAATAAAGCATAACAAGTGCTCATTAGGTACTAGTATGGGGGGATTGAAAAGGCATGATACCAGAGATTGTCTTGGACCCCACTCTTCCTCAGCCTATTCCCTGTGTGGGTTGAGTAAAGTCCCTGTGCTGTAACCTCTGTGGCAGGCTTGTTGGGACTCCAGCGTGGATACGTCTGATCCCTATGCGGCGGTTGCCGAAACCTGGTGTGCAGACTTTGCGATGACTGGACCTGTGTAGGCTGCTATTACTGTAAAACCGGAGTCCTTTCAGTGTATGGGGTCGCCCCCAGCCACAAGTGTCTGCTTGTACCTGCCTCCCGCCAGCGGACAGGTAGTGAAGTTCCCAATTCTGGCCCGGGCCTCTGGTCTTTCTTCGTGCTTGTGTTTGTTGTTGCCTGGAGCGCACCAACCGAGAGAGCAGCTTGTAGGCGATGATTCGCCTTCCTCCACAGAGGGAATGAGATGGCTTGGCAGAGTTTGTGTGGTCGAGCTGCTGCGGCGCGCTTTGGTGTTTGAAGATGGGGCCAATAGCAGGGTGGGCATGCCGCCATGTTGAGTTGCGACCCAGCGTCGGATTGATGGGCTGGCACCTCGCTCCCAACCTCGGGTGCAGCAGGTGAGTTACGAAGGGCGGCTCTGCGTTCCAGGCTCTGCCAGAACTCCCAGCATATGCGATCAAACCGCAGGCTTTTCATGTCTGAAGCTCCGATTCCCCCTGAGACTGTGGAGGTTGTGGTTTGGCGGCCATCTTGTGTTCGGCCTGCCTGTTTTGATTTTCCCAGATTTTCACAGTGAGAGCACGCAAGCGTCCATAGGAAAGCATTGTAAATGCTTTCCTATGCGACGGGCTGAATGCGCGCGCAGGTCTTGCCGCGCGTGCGCATTCAGCCCAGGAGGAGGATCGGAGGAGGAGAGGAGGCAGAGAGCTCCCCGCCCAGCGCTGGAAAAAGGTAAGTTTTTAACCCTTTCCAGAGCCGGACGGGAGGGGGTCCCTGAGGGTGGGGGCACCATCAGGGCACTATAGTGCCAGGAAAACGAGTATGTTTTCCTGGCACTATAGTGGTCCTTTAATACCGCGGTCGGGATCTTCAAAAAAGACTGCAGTCTTAACTAGATGATAGGGAACCAAGGACGTAGGGCAATACCTGTAGACAAATGCTGCTCACAAATGGTGAAGCCTTCAACAAATTACTTAACAAAAGACCGCGGTAATAGGGTGTAAGGTGCCAGGTGGTGAGTTCAAATGGAGATAAGGAAACAGTCGACAAGGGTGTGTGCATAGGTCAACGCGTTTCGTCCCACCTATGGAACTTTTTCAAAACGCGGTATCAAGGCGTAGGTTTGTTCCGGATAAAGTGCATCTGTTTGCCTTCATGGTATTTGCTACCTTCCATCACCTGTCCATCTAAGTGGCGTTCAGGTTCTTCTGGTTATTCCTTTTTTTTAATTCATCTAGAGTTTCACCTCTGCTGGGGGCCCACACCGAGGTCAGGTACATTTTTTTTTTATTTTTTATATATATTTACTGTTTTTTCTGATTATTATTTCCAGAACTGACATTAGCCAGCTGTAACTATATTTCCGGTTTGGCTGATGACACCCCTCTGATGCTGCTGGATTTCCGATATTATGACCACTTAAATATAAGGGTATTTTTAGCTACCAGATTAAAAGTGACGTTTTTTGTTTTCATGTAGATAGCATTTTGTTTGTGTATAATTTAGCATTTTAACTAGCTTTGCACATTAAGCATGTATTCTAGACTTAATGTTGTATCATAAAGCGATTAAGAATAATTCCTATCTTTGGAACTGTACAGATGTAGAACTTGATGTATGTGTCTGGATTTAAAAAAGCCAGCAACGGTCTGTGACAGGTCATCATCATAAATCCACTTCCATGCTGATAAATGTGATGTTTCTGTAGTGCTAACACAATCACAAGAACTTCCTGAACACTTTAAGCATATTTTGTTTTCTTCTTTGGGCTTTTTATTCCATTGTGATAAATGACAATATTGCCCCAGATGGCTAGGAACAGCATATTCCTGCCACTCGTTTTGTACATAAGCAAGTAGATTACCAAATAGAAATTTTAGATTTGAAGATTAAACTAGCTTGAGCGGGGACCCACCAAAGGGCAGGCTAATTGAGCTGTTGTCCGTTCTCACCTCTCTTGCTACTTGTTTTTCTCTCCAGGGCTGTCGTCATAACTGTAACCCCTGCTACACTCGACGCAGGCATGCCAGAAAGAGGAGGCGGATGGAGTGTCCCTCACCCACGATATCCTATAGGAAGCCACAGTGAACTGCCCCGTTTACCCTACCACCCTCTCCCCCCCCAAGAGGGCTAACCCAGCACTCTAAGCTGAGTACTACCAACTGGAACTGCCTTAAGCACACCCTGATATGACTTAAAGGAACACTATAAGGTCAGGAACAGAAACGTATTCCTGACCCTATAGTGTTTAAACCACCATCTAGCCCCCCTGTGCCCCTCATGCCTCCATAAATATAGCAAAATCTTACTGTATTCAAGCCTAGAGTTTCACCTCTGCTGTAGCTCTGCATGCTGTTTGCCTTAGAAAAACAAGCTGTCTGCTGACATCATCAGAAGTGGTGGCCTGATCCAATCACAGTGCTTCTCCATAGGATTGGCTGAGACTGACAAGGAGGCAGATCAGGGGCAGAGCCAACACAATTCAAACACAGCCCTGGCCAATCCACATCTCCTCATAGAGATATATTTAATCAATGAATCTCTATGAGGAAAGTTCAGTGTCTGCATGCAGAGGGAGGAGACACTGAATGTTTGGATGCATTTTAGGCAGCCATGACCCAGGAAGGATTTCTAACAGCCATCTGAGGAGTGGCCAGTGAAGTTATCACTAGGCTGTAATGTAAACACTGCATTTTCTCAGAAAAGACAGTGTTTACAGCAAAAAGCCTGAAGGTAATGATTCTACTCACCAGAACAAATTCAATAAGCTGTAGTTTTTCTGGTGACTATAGTGTCCCTTTAAGGATCCAGCTTTGGCATCCAAGATGGCGACGGAGCAAGACTCCATGAAGCCAGGGAGGCCTTGACAGGACTTTCTGGTGGCATTTGATAACCTGTGTAATGCTTTCTGGGAAAGTATGAAGCATCGTGGGGTTCCTGGTTTGAGAAACACAACTGGGACCAGCAGCATAATTCCTATTTACCCTTTGCTGGATGGGCCCACGGAGGAACACTCTAGGCGGCAGAGCCTTCTGGTCTCCATGGGAGGCACAGTGCCGGGAGAGGAAACCCCTGCTACACTCGATGCAGGCATGCCAGAAAGAGGAGGCGGGTGGAGTGTCCGATCAGCAAATTGCGAGACCATCTCACTCCTAAATTTGTTTCTCCATCTGCTAAGGGGCATGGTCTTGGGCAAGCCTGTTTCTCCGCTTTGAAAACTTGCAGGAGTGCCTGGCTGGGGATCTCCTCAGTGCCATCGCCTGTATCAGCCTCCCGAAGAGGCATCAGCTAGCTGACTTACCAACCCAGGGAATGCCTCGCATTATCCTGCTCCACTAACCTAGGCAACATGCTGCCAGAATATGACCAGTAAAGTCTCTAAACCCTTCCTTGGTACTCACATGGGTGATTTACTGATTTAGTGTTTATAAACTGTCCTCATATATCTTGTTAACATTTACATTTATATTCTTTGATTCAGCCCAAGTCCATGTCTTCTGCTAAAAATCTGTTTCTTAATTTCTGATTATACCTAACCTGCAGTCCAACTAACTCTATCCTATGGCTATTCATATGTTTGTCTGCCTTACCTTGTTTTTCTATGAGTTAAAAAAAAAAAGGGCAGTATCTTTCTGTCTATGCTATATGCAAGTACCTTGCTCTTATGCAGGCTTCTTTAAACTCCGGCCCTCCAGATGTTGCTGAACTACAACTCCTATGATTCTATGAATGAAATAGGCTGAGAATCATGGGAGTTGTAGCTCAGCAACATCTGGAGGGCCGGAGTTTGGGGAAGCCTGCTCTAACGTCTATATTAACATAATGCGTCAATGTAAGCTTGTGTTCTTCACTCTGCACTATAAAAATAAGGTATGATAAAAAATTTAAAAAAGAATTGATGGAAAATGAAGCCTATAAAAGAAACAGGCTGCAATCGGCAAATTGTTCACTATTATTAACTGTAGGAAAACTGAAATGCTGACAGAGCATAAGTCAAACAAAAGGTATACTTAGGTTTGGCAGAGACGAAATTCCGTTCGGGCAATGGAGAGCCAAAATCTATTGAGATTCATGCCGATCCTAAGTTCTAATGAACGGGGCAAAAAGCACGCGAAACGGAGAACAAACCACCAAATGAAAAATTGCTGCCAGCAAGAGGAGGGCGGGCTTGCGCATCTATCTAGAGATGCTAATTGGGGTGGTAAGGATTAAATAGCGGGCGTGAATGATGACAGGCTGCAACCACGCAGCAGCGGAGTGGATAAAATTTAAAAAACTGATTAAATTAAAGGTGCACAATGACAGACGGAAAATATAACTAGCAAAGGAGCCTGAACAGTGGACTGACCAGTTTCTTAGAAAAGGTCAGTCTAGTAATGGGAGAATGAAAGAATAATAAAGACAATCATCTCATAAAATTTAATAGAAAGGGTAATAAAAATGGATAAAATATCTTTTAACAAGGATAATGCTAGATTAATAACAATCAATATAGGTCTATAATTGGAATTGGTTCAACGCAAAGAAAGGGTTGGGAAGGGTCTAATAGACTAATATATGCTAAGATATGTTCTGATTGGTTGATTTTTCTCTGTGTTTAACTGTTTCTTTGCTGCTGGGATGTTCCGTAAAGAAGGTTAAAGCAAATATAAAGCCGCCTGTCTTGCCATAAAATTCAGCTAAAACAAGTAAGATTTTAGTTGAACTGGATTTATCCTGTAGGCCAATGGGTGTTATTCACTAAGCACCAGATTGATGAATGAATTTCAACTAGACTTGCCATTCTTATGTTTACAAATGGCAAATCCAGTTGAAATTTGCTCATATCAGCTGAATGAACACTATTCAGTCATTTGTTGTCTGGTTTAACCCCTTAAAGGACCACTATAGGTACCCAGACCACTTCAGCTCAATGAAGTGGCCTGGGTGCCAGGTCCACCTAGTTTTTAACCCTGCAGCTGAAAACATAGCAATTTCAGAGAAACTGCTATGTTTACACTGCAGAGTAATCCAAGAGACAGCCACTAGAGGCACTTCCGTGATTTACACGTATTTCCTCACGGAGTCCAGTGTCCAAAAAGATCCCCATAGGAAAGCCACTGAGTAATACTTTCCTATAGGTGGGTTTAAATGCGCACGCGCGCCTCTGGCCGCACATGCACATTCAGCTCCACTCGGAAGCTGACGTCAATGGAGAAGGAGAGGTCACCAGCGCCGAGGAAGCCTGGCGCTGGATTAACGTAAGCAAATAAATGGTTAATTAACCATTTATTCGCTGCAGAACTGGGTCCTAGTCAGCTAAATGGTGACTAGGGCTCTATAGCATTAGGAATACATATTTGTATTTCTAGTAAACAGAGCGTCACCACGGCCAATACATGTGGAAGAGGGCAGACCCAGGTGTAGTGGCGTACATACCAGGGTTGCAGGAAATATATATATATATATATATATATATATATATATATATATATATATATATATATATAAAACACACTTTAATATAAATAAAATCTAAAAAGAAAAGTGTGAGAAATTCTGGATGGCATTTTAACTGTACATATCATAATACTGTTTTACTGCAAAAATGCTGCATTTATAGGTTTCATGTCGTTTTGGAAAGTTACAGGATCAAATTTGTGGCTTGCCCATTTCAGTTTTTACACATTGAAATTTGCCAAATCGGTTTGCTGGGCCTATGTCGCCTTTGAAACCATATGGCAGCCTAGGAATGATAATTGTATATTAAAACTGTATATTATGCATTGTACCTAAAATCTTAAAGGACCACTATAGTGCCAGGAAAACATACTCGTTTTCCTGGCACTATAGTGCCCTGAGGGTGCCCCCACCCTCAGGGTCCCCCTCCCGCCCGGCTCTGGAAGGGGGAAAGGGGTAAAAACTTACCTTTTTCCAGCGCTGGGCGGGGAGCTCTCCTCCTCCGATCCTCCTCTTCTCCTCCCATGCGGCTGAATGCGCACGCGCGGCAAGAGCTGCGCACGCATTCAGCCGGTCACATAGGAAAGCATTCTCAATGAATGTGATTTTCACAGTGAGAAGCACGCAAGTGCCTCTAGCGGCTGTCAATGAGACAGCCGCTAGAGGCTTTGGGGGAAGGCTTAACCCATTCATAAACATAGCAGTTTCTCTGAAACTGCTATGTTTATAAAAGAATGGGTTAACCCTAGAAGGACCTGGCACCCAGACCACTTCATTAAGCTGAAGTGGTCTGGGTGCCTAGAGTGGTCCTTTAATTTTAATAAGGACAATAAGGCTTCATATTTTGCATTAAACTCTTTTTACTGAATTAAAGCAGCACAGATCAATCTTAAAACTAACAACCAATGGGGAAAAAAAAGATACCATGTGATAAAAGGCTCTAACAGTCCAAGCACTTTCTCTTTCTTTGATGTGAACCAACAAATATACAGAAACAATTCGGAATAAGTAAGAAGATCAACTGAACATGCCCTGTGAGATCCTTACACAGGCGAAAATTGTAACCATAGATAACTTGCAAACCATCTCCTGTTGTAGGTGAGGATCACACTGAAAGAAACAGAAGTATGTAAAAGGCATCTGAAATCACGTCAGCATAATAAATTTTCATTATGCAAACCAAAAATAAACCAGACTGTCCAAAACTAACATGGGGGGGTAGAGCCTGACTGCCAAGTGGACCAGACATGTTCTGCAAGTGCTCCTGCATCTGGCATTGACCACAATCAGCAATCTTCATGTCAAGGGGTCACCGGTGCTCCCAGGAGTACCTCATGTGATCACAGGATCTCTCCAGCCGGCCCATGCATGGCCCGCGCTATCCGAGCGCCGGCCCTGCTGTGGGCCAGTGGATCTCCCTCACCGTCCCACAGGCACTGATATGCGGCTGGAGGGAGGCAGGAGAGGACCCAGGGAGCTCAAGTCAGAAGCTCCGCCGGGTTCCTCTTGCGGGATTCTGAGCGTTGACCTGGTTACCACGGCAACGCTCAGATCTCGCGAGAGTGAACTCTAGCCCTGCAGGCTAGAGTTCAGTCTCACCACTGAGACCACCAGGGATGGATGGCAGCAGGGCTCCCCCATCTATGGCAACCCAGCTTCCCCCTCCATGGCAACCTGGCTCCCCCCCTATCCCAGGCTAAAGGTGTAACCGAGGCTGGTTCCCTTATTTACCACTATAATGTCTTAAAGCATAGAACTTAGTAGGGCTAACCATACAGACATCTTAGCCATAATTTTATATAGTGTAAGAGATCCTCTATTTAACATATATAAATAATTGAGAATACAATATAAAATAAGGATTGTCTTGGAAGCAATAGATTTGTCTTTTAGATATTTATTATATAAAAATATAAATATAAAATCCATTATTGCAGAGTTTATAAGATTAAACTAAATGCTTGGAAATATCATTAATAGGTTAACATACCCTTCTGAACATGTCATCATGTCAGCCTCTCTGTCATTTTAAGATGGAGCAGCGTCTGTCTCCAAGTCTCTCCTCTGTGTCTTAACATTTAAACGTACACCTATTTATACCTTAGGTGTCTCCATTTTAGGGTTACCGTAGTTCATATATGAAAAAGTAACACTTCTTTTACTTTCTTCATTTTAGGACCTCCCTTAACTTGGCAAACATACAAGGCCATAACTAAAGGGTGTATACGTCATGGAAATTTTCCTGACTTAGTTCAAGATGGCATCTTAAAGTCTGGACATTCTTATCTAGTTAAGGTTACCACAGTATATTGTGTACTGAAAGAGTCGTAGCATAGCCTTGAAGCTTGTTTATGCGTTATTGTAATTCATCTGGGACAAAATGGCGCAAACATATTATGCACTGAGGTTTTTGCTTAAAGAAACAGTTATGAAAAACAATATGTTCCATTTCTAACACCTTGTCAGTTTGCAAATCACAGTGAGAAGCACGCAAGCGCCTCTAGCGGCTGTCAATGAGACAGTTGCTAGAGGAAATAGGGGAAGGCTTAACCCATTCATAAACATAGCAGTTTCTCTGAATGTGTTGCGGCCTGGCCTGCGCGCCGGAGGGGCCCACGGATCAATTTTCGCACCGGGGCCCCATGGGTCATGTGTACGCCACTGCCCGGGTGTAAATATTTACTAAACTAAAAAGCATGTGAAAATATAGAAACATTTAAAGATGAAAAATAGGTGTCATATATATGAATGAGCTTTATATTATATCAGCTCAATCCACATTAAAGTGACAACGTTATCAGTGTAAACAAAGTGCATAAAGTCATATATATACTCAAATATACATGCATATTATCAAGAGACCAGTGCATATAGATAAATATAGTGCTCATGAGAGAAGGATGTATGTGGAACTCACATACAAAGCAGTCCATATTTGGATATTTTAAAGTGACATGCAAAGCAATCCATATTTGGATATTTTAAAGTGACAGTGCATATATATATATAAAGTGCAAACCATAAGTTATAAAAAAGTGCTATGAGTGCTGTGTGAATAAACATTTCATACCAAATAGTGCAAATGATCAATCTATTCTCTCTTTAACCCTATATATGAGGAAAAGTTACATATCTAATAACATTAATGCAATAATACCTTAAAAACAGGAGCGTTCTTCCTTTCTTTTCGTTGGTGAATTATATCTACAAATAAAACATAGAAAGAGATTCCTTGGTGCAGATAGTATGAGCAAATAATAAAAAATCAAATTGAATGTATAAGCTCAATTGCTCACCTTATTTAGAGCCTTTTAAACTGGCTCTAAGTATTGTAGGCATGGATGTCAATATCCAGATGACACTTCCCTCTTATAGATACCACAAATATGGAGAGGAGATGGAGTATGGATAACTAACAATATAATTTATTAATACATAAAATAAACATAAATAAAATATACATACGTATTATAAAAAAGAAGAATCCTCTCCCTCCTCTGTTCAGAAACGCGTTTTGCCGTCCTTTTCGGCTTCCTCAGTCTGACAGACTACAAAATGTGTGTGCAAAATGTCCAGTTATCGAATTGACAGCCGAGGGGGCAGGGGGGTGGGGGGAATGTTAACAAGATCAATCAGTCTGACAGACTTATACATTCAATTAGATTTTTTATTATTTTCTCATACTATTTGCACCAAGGAATCTCTTTCTATGTTTTATTTGGAGATATAATTCACCAACGAAAAGAAAGGAAGAATGCTCCTGTTTTTAAGGTATTATTGCCTACCTTTAAAGGCAAAGACGCTGTTGTGTTTAGAGCCTATACCCTTATAAAAGGCTCTTCTAAATGTGAGTCCTATTCTTCTTTTTTATTCGATATACTTTTAAACGTATCAGACAATACTACTCTATATACTTTTTTTGTTTGTTTTCACATGTACACCCCACATATACTGTAAGGGGTAAGTGTATTACAATCTATATCACTGTTTAGCGCTGCACTTACATCAAGCTGTGTTTGTGGTCTTTTGCACTTTGTTCACTACTTGATATTGTGTTATTTGTAAATTATTTACAGGGTTAAGGATGGTGGGAGTTGGCACACAGACCACTTCAATGGGCAGAAGTGAAGGTAGGCAGACAATGTAATAGAGCAGCAGGAAATGCTAGCAGAATGCTTGGTTGTATAGGGAGAGGTATTAGCAGTAGTGATGTCGCGAATTTTTCGCGAACGGTTCGCGGCGGTCTCCAGTCAGCTGACACATCCCGGCCAATATGCAGCAGACCCTCCCACCTCCTGGACAGCATCCATATTGGCCGGGATGTGTCAGCTGACTGGAGTCCGCCGCGAACCGCGGCGAACCGTTCGCGGACCATTCGCGAAAAATTTGCGACATCACTAATTAGCAGTAGAAAGAGGGAAGTGCTCATGCCATTATACAGAGCACTGGTGAGACCTCACTTGGAGTATTGTACACAGTACTGGAGACCGTATCTTCAGAAGGATATTGATACCTTAGAGAGGGTTCAGAGAAGGGCTACTAAACGGGTTCATGGATTGCGGGATAAAACTGACCAGGAAAGGTTAAACATGTATAGCTTGGAGGAAAGACGAGACAGAGGGGATATGATAGAAACATTTAAATACATAAAGGGAATCAACACAGTAAAGGAGGAGACTATATTTAAAAGAAGAAAAACTACCACAACAAGAGGACATAGTCTTAAATTAGAGGGACAAAGGTTTAAAAATAATATCAGGAAGTATTACTTTACTGAGAGGGTAGTGGATGCATGGAATAGCTTTCCAGCTGAAGTGGTAGAGGTTAACACAGTAAAGGAGTTTAAGCATGCGTGGGATAGGCATAAGGCTATCCTAACTATAAGATAAGGCCATGGACTAATGAAAGTATTTAGAAAATTGGGCAGACTAGATGGGCCGAATGGTTCTTATCTGCCGTCACATTCTATGTTTCTATGTTTCTAAGTGGTCTGGGTGCGTGGAGTGTCCTTTTAACGTCTGTGACATATCAGAACGGGACAAAATAAGAATGTAAGCTTCGCCAAAAGATGACAAAGTGACATTATCTGGTCATTTGTGAAGAATGTTGAGAACCACGCCAACATTCCACAGATAATATTTCAGTGCCAGGGAGTAAGACAACTTTATCCCCCGAAGAAGTCATCTATTCCAATGGGTCATAACCCACAAGGGTTCCCTGGATAGGTTATGCAACACCAAAATGGTTGATCGCATAACATATATAGACCGGTACGAATGCTCTTATGAAAGCAAATGTGACAAAAAATCAAGATGATATGAACAAGTGTTCCAGTACCTTTGTCTATTACTGCAGCCCATGAATCCCATAAAAAGTCTGTAGCCCACGATTGGTAGCAACAAACCAGGATCTCTGAAAAGCATCTAGGCTGCGTGGTTCAGCTGGTCTAGGAGAACTAGAAGATGGGGTTCTGTGCAGGGATCAGTCAGTAGGGTAAGAAACAATGGCAGGAAGAGAGGATGGTCATGAGATAATTCCAGCAGATTCAGGAATCATGCTTGACTCGGCAAGTGGTGGCAATGAAAAGGAGAGATATCTCCTGCATACGAACATGATGAAGGACTCCCGCCATCATCGAGAATGATGGAAATGCATAAGCCCCTTCAATAGGCCAGCAGTTTGGGGGAAAAACATTCATACTTTGCTTTCAGGGTCTGTATGCCAACTGAAGAATATTGAGGAGCTGATGAGTGAGTAGGCAAAGAGATATGTATTCAAGTCAGAGAATTCAACAAATGTCCTTCGGATGAACACAATCTTGGAGAGGAGTAGACGAAGTACACAATTTACCAGATCTAACCAATTCTCAAAGCAAAGAAACTGGACAAATAGAGAAAGTTACTGCGCTGACTTCTCTCTGATCACCACAAAAACTAAAGACTCGAGAAAGTGAGTGACAAATCTCATCTGAGAGTGTAGCCGGGAAGCTGAGTCATAAAAATCAATAAACCGTCCAGACATATCAGGCACCACATTCCCTTGAACCTCAGATAAGCCAGTACTGGCTTCAAATGTTTTGTGAAGCACCACAGAGCCGAGCTGAGTCTGAAGGGAAGACAGGTAAATTGGCAGGAAAGACCCCTCTAAATGAATTTTTAAAATTGCTGACTAGTGTGTGCGACAGGCACCAAAAGATACATGTCCTTTAGTTCAAGATGATAGAACCAATTGTTCTTGAGGATAAGATCCTGCAGTAGATGGATGCCTTCCATCTTGAAATGCCAATATATCACAAAAATATTGAGTTGACGCAAGTTGATAATGTGTGGAAAGTTCCCCGTGTTTTCCTGGATGAGAAAGATTTTACTGAAGAAAAACCTCTTTCTTCTGAGGCAAACACCCTCTTGGAAAATAGTGTTTGGATCTCCTCGTCAATAGGGTCTCATGTTCCTGCAACAGATGAGGAGGTGCATTAGACAGGGTGGAGAATGGAACTGTATGATGTAGCTTTGTACCGTCTGGAGAATCCAAGCATCCAATGAAATCGCCAATACTGCAAAAGAGGGATAACCTACCCACACTAAATTCATTGGACGGACTTGTTTGAGGGAAACACAGATGAGAAGAAGCATGCTCGACCTCTGCCTCAAGCACCTCTTGACGTGCAGGTCCAGGTGAGTGCCCTGTGACAATGCCATTGAGCAGTGAGAGGGTAGGGGCTTTATCTATACACTTAAACTGCTTCACTAAGCTGAAAATGCTTTAATTCCTATAGTATCTATAAATATATCTATCTATCTACAGTTGTAATCAAAATTAACAAACCCCACTGAAAATGCAACTTATGACTTCTCTGGTCTCAAAATATTCAACCCCCGAATAGAATCCCTCACAAAAGCACAAATATGCAAAACAGGTGTCTCAAGCACACCTGATGCAACTAATCAAGGGCTTCATTATTTGCACCAGGTGTGCCTGAGCTGGAACACTTGAAATACCTCAACTGTCATGGGGTTTTGTTGAGTGTCTCATTTGACTGCATGTTAGAGATATGATTAAGTCAAAAGAATGGTCCATAACGTCAGAGAAGAGATCATCACAATTCACAAACGAGGAAAAGCCTACAAAAAGATAGACAGGGCACTGAACGTTCCTGGATACCCTGTTCGAAGCATAGTTTGCAAGTTCAGAGTTGAAGGAACAGTGATTACACTATCTAGACAGAGCAGAAAAAGAAAGTTATCAATGGCTGCAACCAGATTTCTGAGAAGGCAGATTGTGAAAAACCCTTGAGTGAAGTCAACAGACCAGCAGCAAGACTTGGTGACAACAGTCACTGAGCTCTCAATGTGCAGTGAGAGAATCAACGCTTTCCTATGGGGATATTGCTGATGCTGGATGTCCTAATGCAGAGCGTGAGAATCGGTTACCGGACCATAGGTCTGGTAAAAACAGTATACCCTGCACTCAGGTTTCGCATATATGCTCTGGCCTTCCACCAAGGAGCGCTCTGTGTAGGATGGACACCACTGAATCCACCAATGTAGTATCAAAGAAGAGAAACACAGGGGGGCGAGGCCTGACCGCAGCATCGAGCGGACGCTAATCACCACAGCTCCTGCAATCATTGCCAGAAAAAATGCCACAAAGCCGCTGACACAGCTTTTAAAAGCCAAACAAAGGTCACCAGATGACGGGGGCTGCCAGGGTGGACACAACGATACCCAACAAGTGACTACCTACCCGGTACGTGCCTGACACACTGGCGAGGCCTACAAAAAGATCAGGTACAGGAGAGACGGCCGCTCCCCCGCAGCTTAGAATGCCCGGAAACTTAACAGAGCCTGCGTTCCCCCCCCCCCCGGACCGGTGGGGGTCATCCCGGTCTGCACCCACACAAGCAAGTGTACAAGCACTCACCAAAACACACGACCACGAAGCACAGAGGCCACACGTGGAGCAGGCAAGATGGCGCCCAACCCACAGACCTCAGCTCTGCACATAATCGAGAGGGAAACTAAATGCCGATACGACCGCATCTTCGGTGCCCTCTGGGAGAAGCTAGTGGCCCTGATGCAGTCCCCCCAAAAGGGACCCCCACCTGGCGACATGAGGCAGGGTCCAAAGCATGGAAGCGCAGGGGGAGATAGGGCAAACCCCCAGAACCCCACCCGCAAGAAGGGTAACCCAGTAACCTGGAACCGCACAAAGGCCACTCACAGCCCGCACAAAACGACTGAAACACAAGAGACACTCAAGGCACAGCTCCAAAGGCGGCCTTACAGATGTGCAGAGACCCGACGTAAACTCCGGAGGGGCCCAGACTGGATGAGAAGACAGCAGAAGAAAAAGCCCAAAATGGCTGCCATGAAACTTCCGTACCGGGAAGGCAATGACAGGTGACCACACCAAAAAATATGCAGCACAGCCAAGACCCTACGCTGCCTGCCAGGTGAACCTGCTCTCTACAGGGGCGCCCTTACCCACCACACAACCGGAATACAGAACATGGGGCACGTGATCAGAGCAGACCACGATCCGACAGGGTCGCTGCCCGGCGAACTAAACCGGCACAGAGCCCATCCACAACCAACGAGGGAGGGAACCTCGCAACGCTCCGGGCCCACCCACCAATCCTTCAGAACTGGTGTCGGCTGACCAAAGCGGACTGACCCAGAGACAATCTGCGTCCCTGCAGGCCCTACAGCAGAGACACTGCAAGATCCCACCTCACAGTATGTCTCACAGTATGGCCCTGGCAAATCGCAGCAGAGACTGTTAGTTCTGTATAGAAGCAGTGGAACAAGCAATACAGTATATTAACCACAGGCAATTAGCTCATTAACCATAGATAATATAGCAGTTACTTATCCATTGCAAATGTGTTCTCATGCATGTCAGTATTACCTTTTAAAAATGTGCAGACTCCACTAACTGCTTTCAAATGTTAAGTCTATTAATCCACTCAAGACCTTCAAAGCATCTTACCCATGTTTTTATGCAGGGCATCTTTATGCTTAGAGAGAATAGAAACATGACTACACAATGTAGGCTAACTCTAGCAATGTTAACTTCTGTTTGGCGTTTCTTAGCTTAAATACACATAGTTTAACTTTTAAATATATTATTTCATTTAGTAACTGCTAAACTGCAAACCGTACTTATACAGTATGACTACGATAACATAGCAGAACTAGCATTAATAACTAATCGTCAGTTTATATCATTGTATGTTAGCTAATCTTACTTCATCAATCTGTCTAATTAAGCATGCTTAAAAAAACATAAAAATTGTGCGAATTCTCATGCCACTGTCAAAATGTTCTGTATCTTGCAATATGCTGTTGTGGCGACTGTTAATATAATGTACCTACCTGCACAACAAAAATAAAGAATAAGGTAGGTGGCTTGGACGCGGGAGTGAATGGCCGCATGAACGCCGAGCTCCGCTCGAGTCCGGCCTGAAAACGTAGAGTCCCGGCATTCACACAGTCATGGCGACCAAAAGAACGAAGGCACAAGTAAGCAGCACCCCCTCCTCTCACCCCTTACCCTCCAAAACGTCCCTGAGGAGATTCTTCACGGAGAAACAGGAGACGGACATGCGGTCCAAAATGGCCGCGGCAGAGAAATCACCCGCGAGCAGCGCTCCAGCCAGCCCTGCTCCTTCAGAAAGCTCCACAGAGGGGACAGACATCAAATCTATCCTGACCCAGCTGCCCTCTAAATTGGACCTAGAAGCCATGTTTTCCAAAATGGAAAGAAGTTTTGGGGACAAGCTGCAATCCTTACATGAGGAGGTAAGCCACATTGGCAATAGAGTACAACTATTGGAGGAGGGGGGAGAAACTATAGCCCTGCAAATACATAATATGCAAACCCTCCAGCAAACCCAGAATGAAGCCTTAATATTCCTGCAAAAGAAAATAGAGGACCTGGACAATAGGGGAAGGCGCAATAACCTCAGAATAAGAGGCATCCCTGAAGCCCCTGAGGGGACAAATGAAAACATAACACAAACCCTCACAAATCTCTTTAATCAGCTCCTGGGCAGACCGGTGGACACCCCCATTAAGCTGGACCGCGTTCACAGAGCAATCCGGCCGAAAGTATTGGCGAATGAGACACCAAGGGACATCATTTGCAGAATTCACCATTTTCCCATTAAAGAGACGATTCTTCAAAAGGCCAAGCAAATCAGAGATATTACTTTCTCTGACCGCAAAGTGCAGATATTCCAGGATTTGGCGCAATCCACGCTGATAGCAAGAAGAGCGCTGCGCCCGATAACAAAAGCACTCTCGGACCGCAACATATGTTTCCGCTGGGCATACCCCTTTGCCCTAGTGGTGAACCGCCAAGGGAAGACGCACTCGATATCAACTCCGGCGGATGTCTTGACGTTCCAACAAGCTCTAGGCATACCTACCGACGTGGTGGAAGACTGGACTGGCCTATACATGGAACAGGACAGGCAACTGTCCCAGAAGGCCAAATGGCAGCGCAGCCCCAAGAAACGAGGGAGGCGGGCTCCCTCGGGAAACGAACTGCCCACGACACCAAAAGGAAATGCCACGAGACCGACCTAATAGACTTGCTATATCCTTTTACTCTGCTAAAAATGCCTAAGACACATAGGCGTCTGCCTCAATCAACACCTAGTTAATGCCATGTTTACAAATGTACATGTTTCTATATGTCTAATGTTTACTGTGTAACCCAATGCCAAGGGTCCCCGTGGCTGGGGCCAGGGCGTCCAGGTGGCGCCCGGGCCCCAGGCACGCTGGATCTGGGATTCGATCAACAGTTATGTTATGATAAGATGTAAGCGTTATCAACACAAGCTACCGCAAGATCGCTAACGTTATACGAATTAAGTATTTCACACGCACAGCTGGCCCCGGGTCTCAACGGGTCTAGACCACACACCCCCCAAGAGGTGCCGCAAAGAGCACGCGGGATCCATATGATCCACAGCGGGCTTGACACCATCTGGACGCAGCAGGCATGCTGCATATACACTGTATATAGTTTCCACAGTTTACGTTTTTCCCCCCGACCCCTCCCCTCCATTGAGTACAGGTCATCACACCATCTAAGCCTGAGAAGCCCTCACTCTTGGCTGCTTTATGATGGATAACCTCAAACTCATGTCCCTGAATGTAAGGGGACTAAACACGCCCGAAAAACACACAATCCTAGCGCAGGAACTAGACAGACAGCAGATGGATATAGTATTTCTCCAAGAGACCCATTTTAGAGGAGATCGGACCCCCTCATTGAAAACCAAATCCATGGGACAAGCGTACTTTAGCAATTACCACGGAGGCAAATCTAGAGGGGTCGCTATCCTTTTATCAACCAGAAGAGCTTTCACGCTACGAGATAGCAAATTAGACCCACAGGGCAGGTATCTTTTTCTCAAAGAAATGATCAACAATACCCTCATTACTTTAGTGAATGTTTATGCGCCCAACAATAGACAGGTCCCATTCATCAAATCGTGCCTCAGAAAACTAGAGAATTTTGCAGAGGGGTTGGTGGTGCTAGGGGGCGATTGGAACATAGTCCCAGATCACGCTATAGACAGCACTGCGACAGGTAAAGACACATTAGCACACCAACGCCTGCTGTTCCAAAAAACGCTACATGCTAACCAGCTAGTTGATTGCTGGAGGATCATCCACCCCCAGGAGAGGGATTATACATACTTCTCCCAGGTGGCCCAAAGCTACTCTAGATTGGATATGTTCATGATAGGACACAAACACCTGCACACACTGGCCTCCGCGTCCCTAGGACCGATCACATGGTCGGACCATGCCCCAATATTCCTTACACTGTCTCTAGATGAGAAGAGTGCCGCGAGCAACTCGTGGCGCCTAAACGAATCACTGTTAGATGACCCCAGGGTAACTGAAGACCTGACCAACGAACTGCCCAGGTATTTCCACGAAAATGCGGGTAAAGGCACTGCGGAACCATGGGTATGGGAGGCACACAAAGGTATAACACGAGGGATCCTGATCAAGTGGGGAGCTTGCATAAAATGGGAACGAACAGCACAAATCCAATCCCTAACTAAAGCCATACACATAGCAGAATCTGCCCACAAGGATACCCCCACAACTGACGCATATAAAACGCTAACAGCATTACGAATAGAACTGCGAAACCTCCTTGCAGCGAAAGCCCATAGGGCAGCCCAGCTGACTAAGGGGACATATTATGCACACGACAATAAAAGTGGGAAATATCTAGCTAGGGCTCTGAAGGACAAACACCAAAAAACATACATTTCTCACATAACCACGAAAAGCGGGATACGCCAAGACACGACAGAGGACATAGCCAAAACCTTTCAAAACTACTACAGCGACCTCTACAACTTGGGACAACCACTGAACACACAACATAACAAAGCAGCGTACGTCTCAGCCCACACTCATAAAAAACTAGACGCACAACAAACAGCCCAATTAGAATTACCCATCCAACCTGAGGAACTCCGAATAGCCATAAAGACCCTCCCCAAAGGCAAAAGCCCAGGCCCAGACGGCCTTACGGCTAGATATTATCAGACCTTCCAACACATATTGAGTCCAAAGTACCTAGATGTTCTCAATACTCTGTTGACCAAAGATGCTCTACCACCACCCATGCTAAAGGCCTCGATCACTGTTCTCCCAAAACCGGGTAAAGACCCGAGCCTATGTGGCAGCTATAGGCCAATATCCTTAATTAACCTAGATCTAAAGCTCTTTGCAAAAATACTGGCCAATAGGGTTAAACCACTCCTTCCGGACCTAATTCATGCGGATCAGGCGGGCTTTATCCCAGGGAGAGAGGCACGGGACAACACGACCCGTCTCCTCAACGTCATGCACGGCGCACTGTCCTCCAGGACCCCCACGCTACTCCTGTCAGTTGATGCTGAAAAAGCCTTTGACCGGGTGGACTGGGGGTTCCTGTTCGCCGCACTGGAGGCATTGGGAGTGGATCCAAATTACAGACACTGGGTGCAAATGTTGTATAGAGGTCCCTCAGCCTCAGTCAGGGTTAATGGTCTTGATTCCCCTCCGTTTCACATTGGCAACGGCACTAGGCAGGGATGCCCACTGTCACCCCTAATCTTTGTCTTGGTTATGGAGCCCTTTCTCAATGCCATCAGAACCAATGACAACATTACAGGTTTTAGAGCGGGTGGGACGGAGATCAAAGTATCTGCCTTCGCAGATGATGTACTTCTCACCATAACCAACCCGGAACAGTCCCTCACATATGTGCAGAAAGAGATAGACCAATTTAGTGCTTGCTCTAACTTCGAAATTAATGCAGACAAATGCGAAATAATGGGCTTAGGGCTGAATGCGACACGCAAGACACAAATCAGTGACGCCTACAGCTATAAATTGACAGAATCGGGCCTCTCATATCTGGGAGTCATCCTGACGCCCACGGTGAAGGGCCTATATAAATGTCCCTGTTACAGGACATTACATCCAAACTAAAGCAATGGGACAAGCCCCACTTCTCCCTATTTGGGAGAATCAACATCATCAAGATGATGATCCTACCGAAGATCCTCTATCTTTTTCAAACTCTGCCACTAGACCTAGATAATACCTTCTTCCGTACAATGAAATCAGCCTTTATATCCTATATATGGGGACATAAAAAAGCAAGGATAGCGTACGACACACTCACAAGGAATAAGAAGGAAGGGGGGATGGGCCTACCCCATATATATAAATACTACATAGCGACCCTCCTCACTAGAGTGAAAGAGTGGACGGACACTCAACACAAAAAAGCATGGTACGACCTGGAGCAAAGTTTCTCCACAGTTCCCCTGTCCACACTACCCTGGCAAACATGCCACCTGCAAAAATTAACCATCACAGCGCACCCACTGCTCCACCACATCTTAACGAAATGGAGACTCCATAAAACCACATGGGGACTATCTCCAGGAATTTCCCCACTTTACCCACTAGCACACAATCCTGATATCCTGGGGGGAAGGGGAGCTCCAACACTGAGGAAAATACTGGGGACAACTGACCCACGTATAGGAGACATGATAACAAATGACACCCCCCCAAATGTCAAACCTCTACGGGAGTGGGGAGGCCAGGGCTCACTCACTGAAACGCTAAGATACGGGCACATACGCCACATCCTGCAAAGCACAGTATTACCAAACTGGAACTCGAGAGATCTCACCCAATTCGAGCAACTATGCACCGCCAAAACAATGCACAAACGCACACTCTCCCAAATATATAAGTTACTGGTCTTCCCCCCAAGGAGTCCAAGAGACTCCTCCCTTCCATCAGCGGTGGATGAAAGGGTTGCACATTCACATGACTCCCGCCGATTGGCAGTACATTCTAACAAGACCTATGACAGCCTCCATTAGCCTCTCAAGACGTGAAGCCTTTTACAAACGCATCACAAGATGGTATAGGACCCCAGATCTTTTACACCACTTCTGGCCAACACTTAGCGATAAATGCTGGAGATGCGACAGCGAGGTGGGGACAATAGAACACATATGGTGGGACTGTCCACGCATTAGACACTACTGGACGGAGGTACTAGCAACCATAAAGACCATCCTACCGCTCCCACACTCACTGACACCATCACAAATCCTATTGGGCTGGCCACAAACCTTCCAAAATCCGAAAACACAGCAACTGCTGTGGTTGCTACTAGGGGAAGCAAATAACCTTATCCCCTTACACTGAAGGAAAACAGAAACCCCCACGGCGACTCAATGGATAGATAGGGTGGAATCCACGAGAGAAATGGAGAACTTATACTGGTCCCCCCTAGGCCGACATGACAAATACGCCAGCACATGGGAACCCTGGTTACGGCACTGGGCAAACATAAAAGACACTAATCACAACGCACAATGATGAACCACCACAATACTCAATGGAACCATCCTCCCTCTCACCCCGTTACTTTTCCCAGCCACCTCACGATGGGGAACAGGCGAGATCTGACCCTTCCCCTCCCCCCTCGCCACCACCCAGTTACAGCACCCAACCCCAAGATCTATAGGTTGAGGAGAGGGAACCTAGGCACAGGCCACAGGGAACACCAGAACCCCTGAAAACCCCAGAGGGGACTCAGGAGCACACCGCTCGCCTACGGCGATAAGTAGAGGCCGAGCGGCACGATCATGGTAGATCCAGAGAAAGCAGGGGATGACGGGGCCTCAGCAAAAAGTTATACGACACATCAAAGGGCAATGTATCATTCGCTATCTTTATAACAAGTTGCTCTCTAAATGTAACAACAAACCATGCACTTTGATGTACCATGCTTATTGTATTGTCCTCAAACCTACTGTTCCCCATCCCCTCTTTTCCTTTCTGTACCCCCTATTGATGACAAAACCAATAAAACTGAAAAAAAATAAAAAAAAAATAAAGAATAAAAAAAAAAAAAAAAAAAAGAAGAAGAGAAACACAGGCAGCACTCCAGGATATAGAAGGTAAATTTATTTGTGGGTTCACCACCTTATTCACCAGAATAAGTGCGACGTTTTGGCTCCTCAGAGTCTTAATCATGCACAAGGGATACAGCATAACAGCAGTGTTTAAATAACCCCAAAACCAATTAAGTTAAAGAGTACAATCACATGTTAAAACATATGTATAAGTGACATCTAAAAACAATACATGGCGTCTACTCAAGTATAGGATCAGGATTTAAAGCTGCAGTAATATATTATACAATCACACAGTAATACACTCATCTCTAGTTAATATTCCATAGCATGAAAAAGCCAAATGTCCTGTCTAGTACAGCAAGTGAAACTGCAATAGGCAAAATTACAATAATTAATTAGAAAGTACTATCTAAGTGAAGTCTATTCGAATATAGGTCTGGTAACATTCCGGAAGCACCTCCAGTGGCTTTCTAGTAAACAGCCACTAGAGGCTGTCTTAGTGCTACAACGTAACCATTGCAGTTTCTATAAAACTGCAATGTTTACATTGCTGCACTAAGTGCAATAGGGACACTGTATCCAGACCACTTCAATGAGCTAAAGTGCTCTGGGTGCCTACAGTGATCCTTTAAAAACACCTATCCCAGCAAACCAAAATTTGGAGTCAGTTCAACTATTTGGTCATATTGTGTTAAGCTCACCTCTACTTTACAGTACTCCAATATCAGTGGGTCCTACACTAATTCCAACGTGAGAGACAAGACAAATAGAGCTAGTGCCGAATGAACCAAAGTGTTTTTAAACAATCTGTTGTAAGAGCATTGTATATAAATAGAAAATATTGTAGGACCCATCGATATTGGGGTACCATGAAGTACTGGTGGGCTTAACACAACAGAGCCATGTAGGGGAACTGGATCCCCATATTTGCTGAGATAGGTGATTTTAATTAGCCTTATACAATTTAAAACTGTATTTTTATGTGTGCGCTGTTCTTAACCCCTTAAGGATCAAACTTCTGGAATAAAAGGGAATCATGACATGTCACACATGTCATGTGTCCTTAAGGGGTTAAAGGGATCCTATAGTGCCAGTAAAACAAATCAGTTTTCCTGGTACTATATGTCCTTACAGTGCCCTCCTCTCTTGTGACCCCCCTTAAAACTCCTTCAGCCACTTACCTGAATCCAGAGCCAATGTCTCTCTGCGCTGGGTCCGGCTCCGCCCACGCTCCTCCCCTGCCGACGTCAGCCGGCGGGGGAGACCTAATGTGCATTAAACTGCCCCATAGGAAAGCATTATACAATGCTTTCCTATGAGGAAAATCTGACCCTGGAGGTCCGTGAGGACATCTAGTGTCAGATAGACCAAAAGTCCGTTTGGATTGCGGAAGCGACCCCAGGAGCTGTCTGGTAGTTCTGTGGAACTGCAATGTTTTACATTGCAGCACTAAGTGCAGTAGGGAGACAGCACCCAGACCACTTCAATGAGCTGAAGTGGTCTGGGTCCCTAAGTGTCCCTTTAATCTGTTTGTTGTATAAAGTCTGGTCTCTACAGTATCACTATTGCTGAGAAATGCATGTTCTGGGTGTGCCCCCAATTCCCTGTTTTTCTTTAAAATAGATATTGGCAATTAAAGTGAACCTGTCATTTCAGGTTCATTTTAACCCTATTACAAACAATTGATAGGCATTGCCTAATTTAGAAGCACTTGCAAGTATTCTTAGTGCTGCTTTGTGTGTTTCCGAAGTAAAACCCTCATCATCTTTTGTGAGGCTTGTGATCTCTGTAGCAAAGGTTAGAACTGGTTGAGGTTTACAATGATGATCAGCTATTTCTTATACATCTGTAGGAGGTTAGATGGCACATTTGTCTCTTTTGTCTGATGATTATGTGAAAACCAATTATTTTTGTTGAGTTTGATGCATTGTGCTTGTGTTCCTCGGTCATGCATCTTCTGACACCACCAATAAGCCATGGTTAATGCAGGATACCACACTTCTTCAATAAGTCATGTTAGAGGAAGGGGCTAGTAATTGTTCAGTCTTGAAGGCCATTAGATGTGACTGTTAGAGGAATTACTACATGGCTTCACAGTTATACATCATGGTGATTTTAAAATGATGGAAAATAAACAAGTTATAGTGACAGAAATTCATAAATAAAATGCACCACTCAAAAAGTTATGCAGAATAAATACATGTTTTATTACATTTGTGTCCCAATGTCACTCTGTTATGGAGACATCAATAAAATGTCTCATATGAAATCGAGCTCATATTACAATAAAAACACCACTGTATCATAGAAGTATCTAAACCCCTAGTGAAACAAATACTGTGGAAAAACAAGGCCTATATACACATATACCCATCATATACCCATCATACCAATAGTCCATCACTGTTCACCCCGGAAACCTAAGAGGATTGTTGCAACTTCCAGAATGTGATACCCCAATGAACGGACTAAGGCACATTTGTGAGACTGGATATTTGCAAAATGAATGCTAGGGCAGATCTAGAACACATATATCTCTGGTTATGCTATATCTGTTTCTGCAAAGTAAAAAAAGTCAAAGTGGCGCACTACTATATGTAGAGTGCATTTACATACCAGATGTGGGATGCAACCAGTACCATTTGTGGGCATGAAATGTGCCCCGTTCATTGTGGCAGCCATACAGGAGGTATGAGCAGGTAAATATATTTTTTGCAACCATATACTTACAGTTTTTACATTAACCTTTTGGATGCAAGGTATTAAGGTTCCTACATGTCAGAACACTTAATATTGCACTGTTTAACATTTCACACTGCACTTTTTATGTATTTGGTACTTTCAGAATTCGGATATAGCATTTTATTTGTCAAGTGCACTTTTAGATGCTCACCAATTTTCTGGGATGAGGATTGTGAAATATATTTTACTATATTTAGTTGTGATTTAATTATATAATATAGATTCAATCTGTACCTGCCTGAAAGCAACCTGTTCATCCATGCGTTTTATAAATGACCTAGCTGGTCAGAATATTTTTAAATATAGTGTTCTTTTATGTGAAAGGATTATATTTTTTGTAAAGCTGGTCTCTAACAAAACTAACAAAAATAACAGTATACCATACAGCACTTGAACCTACACAGAGTTGGATAAAATGTTTCAGATCCTTCCAGAAATAATGGAAACATAACTATCCAACCAAGAAACCTTTACCTTTTTGAAAGATCACTCCATGCAAAATAACCTGATGTAGAATGATGTATTACAACACTGGATTGCACGTCATTGATAGTATGAATGCTTGTTTTAAACAGTCTGTCTCTGTGAATCTCTGTTTCAGTTCAGTTCTTGGTGTCCGCGCAAATGTCTGTGTTGCAAAAGTCTAAAATACCTGGAAAAAAACAAAACATTGATCTCATTTACTTATGAACATCAGACTAACTTAAATGAATCGTTCAGTTACTCTGATTTATTGGATAAACACACAGTTGTGTCTACATAAAAATGTGTTAATCTAACAAATCTATTAAAATGAGATACCTAAATATTTCTTGCAACATTTCCCTAATAGTAAACATCAGATTTCCCCTATGCACAGTGCTTATATTTTCTGTATTGTGCCATTCACTCCGAAACAGATTAAGTTAGTAAACTGTTGGCCATCATACACTTAAAGGGACACTGTAGGCACTATAACTGCCTCATCTAATTGAAGTGGTTTTATTATATGAAGTCCCCTGGCACTGTCATTCTGTTTAGTGTTAGCTATATCTCGAGGGCTGCACCGTTCCTGTGGAACTCACTTCCCTCCTCCGTTAGATGCTCACCCAGTCTCCACTCCTTCAAAAAATCGTTAAAAACCCACTTCTTCATATAAGCGTATCAATCAAACTGTTAATAGAGGGGTATTTAGGCCCAGTTCTCATCCTGCTCAGTGCCCTGTCGTGGTTTCCCTTGTGGTTGTCCAAGAGAGGGTTATTGATTCTGGTCATTCTGGTTATTTGACTTTGGCATTGTTTTTGACTTCCCTGTTTTCTGGCATCCCTGACTCCTGGCTTTTCCTTATCGTTGTGTCTCTTTCTGTATCCCTTGACCTCGGCTATTCCTGACTATTCTTTGATACGTTAGCCCGGCCATTCTAAGGTGTTACACAATTCTACGTGCTGGATCATTCTGTAATCCTGACACTATACATAATTCAATGAGATTAAATGGTCATAGTGTCTCTATAATGTCCCTTTAAACGAAGAATACATTGTACCCTTCACTGAAACTCAGTAGTATTTATAAAATGAATTAAGATGTTTGTGTTTGTTACATGCTTTGTCTGCATAGGTAGCTTACAAAACAAGTGTGATGATATAAGTATACTCTGAACATGCACAGATTGTTATAAACCTGCCTCTGCAGATCTCTTTAAAAACCCATGAACAATGTACTTAATTAGTTATCCTATAAATAAATATATGCATCGGATTAAAGTAGCAGTGTATCTCCTACAGCTGCCTAAGAGTGAATGCATAACTTATTATAAAGAAAAACATTTATATCTCATTTTAAGAATGTAGAAGACTTGTCAGATTTAGAATACTGTACATACTCGAGTATAAGTCAACCCGAATATAAGTCGAGACCCCTAATTTTACCGCAAAAAACTGGGAAAACTTATTGACTCGAGTATAAGACTAGGGTGGGAAATGCAGCAGCTACTGGTAAATTTCTAAATAAAATTATACCCCCCCAAAATTATATTAATTGAATATTTATTTACAGTGTGTGTATATAATGAATGCAGTGTGTGTGTGTGTGTATATGATGAATGCAGTGTGTGTGTATGAATGCAGTGTGTGTATGAATGCAGTGTGTGTATGAATGCAGTGTGTGTATGAGTGCAGTGTGTGTGTGTGTATGAATACAGTGTGTGTGTGTGTACGAATGCAGTGTGTGTGTGTACGAGTGCAGTGTGTGTATGAGTGCATTGTGTGTGTGTGTATGAATGCAGTGTGTGTATGAATGCAGTGTGTGTGTGTGTGATGCAGAGTGTGTTTGTGTATGTGAGGGGGTGGGCATTTTTTTAAAATTATTATTATTTTAACTTTTTTTGTTATATTATTAATATTTTTTTATTATTATTATTATTATTTTAATATTATTAATATTTTATTATTATTTTAATTTGTATTTCTTTTTATTCGTCCCCCCTCCCTGCTTGTTAGCTGGCCAGGGAGGGGAGCTCTCATTCCCTGGTGGTCCAGTGGATGGGCTGTGTAGGAGGGGGGCTGGCAGCGAGCTGTAACTTACCTTTCCTGCAGCTCCTGTCAGCTCCCTTCTCTCTCCTCCAGTCCGGTCAGCTCCCCTGTCAGCAACCTCTGCAAGTCTCGTGGTCTGAGTGCCGCGCAGAGCGTTACCACAGTAACCCGTGGCAACGCTCTGATCCCGCGGCTCTCGCGAGACTTACAGTGGGAGCTGACAGGGGAGCTGACCGGACTGGAGGAGAGAGAAGGGAGCTGACAGGAGCTGCAGGAAAGGTAAGTTACAGTTCGCTGCCAGCCCCCCAACAGGACCGCCGGGCTTGTAATAAGCCCAGCGGTCCTAGTCTGTATTATGGCAATGTAAGTTGCCATAATACAGACATTGACACGAGTATAAGTCGAGTGGGGGGTTTTCAGCACAAAAAATGTGCTGAAAAACTCGACTTATACTCGAGTATATACGGTATATAGATGTTATACCTAGACATTAAGATAAGCAATACATTTTAAGACATAAGTAAAAGATCAAATACCCGCTTGTGTGCAGGAAAACACTGAGTCTGCAAGATCCATGAAGTTTTCTCCTAGTATGTCTTGTACACTGCGTTGGCCAACAGGAAGGAGACATGAAGTGAAATCTTTAAATAGCAGATCCCCCTCTCCATAGACATCCATTGACTTGAAAAGCTGGAATTTTGAGTTTTTGCCTGGCCCCAAGCTATTCTAGATTAAAAACACACACAACAGATTAGTATATTCTCTATTTGACTTTTAAAGTATTTGGGCATAGTAAATCATATGGAGGCAAGCCAATGTATACTTGTTTTTAAGTGCAATCTGTGTGGAAACATTGCAGAAATGTATACAAGTTTATTAACTTGTGAAATGTCAAAGCAAAATGAAAAATGTTAGGTGAAAATGGTTGAACTAAAATCGTGGAAAACATTTAAATTTCAGCTTTGGTGGCAAGTCTTATGAAAGACACTCTTTGTAAAGGAAAGAAAAATGCTGTGGTTGCATAGCTATTAGAGAAGAATAGGTGCTTGAAATCTAAACATAAAAGCAGTAGCATGAAAAACTAAAACTGCTATTTTGTTTTACGATGACGAATTAAAAAGCAACAAATAGGTTTGCCTATGAGTGTAATTCGATTCATATATTTTTGGCCCCTTATGTAGAATATTTGTTAGAAAATTCTTGTTGGCTTAGTCCAACCTCCATGGCCACTAACTCATTAGCTCCTGTGGCTTCCAATATCATTTCTATGCAGATGACACGCACATCTACCTGTCCTCTCCTGATCTCTCCCCGTCCCTCTTGACTACTGTCTCTGACTGCCTCTCTGTTATTTCTAACTGGATGGCTGCCCACTTCCTTAAACTAAACTTGACCAAAACTGAAATTCTGGTCTTTCCTCCCTCAAGTGTTGTTACTCCTCTGTCTTTCTCCCTCCAAGTCAACAGTGCTATCATCAGCTCCACCATGCAGGCTCGCTGCCTTGGTGTTCTCTTTGACTCTGACCTCTCCTTCAAGCCTCATGTTCAATCTATCGCCAAATCCTGCCATTTCCATTTCAAAAACACTGGTCCAGCTAGGTTTAACCCTTTTTTCTATAAACATAGCAGTTTGCTATGTTTATAATAGGGTTAATCCAGCCTCTAGTGGCTGTCTCATTGACAGTCGCTAGAGGGCTTCCGCGCTTCTCACTGTGATTTTCACAGTGAGAAGACGCCAGCGTCCATAGGAAAGCATTGTGAATGCTTTCCTATGGACTGGCTGAATGCGCACAGCTCCTGCCGCACATGCGCATTCAGCCGAGGAGGAGGAGAGGAGGCGGAGAGGAGGAGGAGAGCTCCCCGCCCGGCGCTGGAGAGGGGGGAGGTGGAAGGGGGACCCTGAGGGTGGGGGCACCCTCAGGGCACTTTAGTGCCAGGAAAACGAGTATGTTTTCCTGGCACTATGGTGGTCCTTTAATATCTCCTGACTGATTCCTCTTCTGCAACTGTCACTAGTCTAATACTATCCTTACATTTTTGTGTCATTTTACCCCACTCCCTCTAGCATGTAAGCTCATTGAGCAGGGCCCTCAACCCCTCTGTTCCTGTGTGTCCAACTTGTCTGGTTACAACTACATGTCTGTTCGTCCACCCATTGTAAAGCACTGCGGAATTTGATGGCGCTATATAAATAACATAATAATATAAAAATAATAATAATAATAATAATAATAGAAGTGGTCGTGGAGGAGACCCTTACCTGACATTGGATTGAATTGTTATTATTTCAAATATCTTAGCATAAAAAGAGGGTGGACATAGTAAATAGGACATTATAGGAAAGCATTAAACTGTCTGAGATCATCAGTTTTGATGATCTCGGCCATGGAGGAAAATCAGGGATGGAACCAGCACCAGCAGACCCTCGTGGCGCTGGAAAGAAGGTAAGATTTTACACTATTTAAAGGGGGAAGGGGCACCGGGGGACCTCCCTTCACGTCTGTTCAGAGAGACGACTCCCAGCGTGCACCATCGAACTGCCTTCACCTGCTGCACCTCCTGGATGGCCGGGAGGAGTCAGAGATGCTAACAGACGGCAGGACAGCAACAGGACTATGTTAGGCCCCAGGAGGGTATCGGCTGAACCGAGTCCCTTGCGGATACTTTACCTACCATAAACATGCCTTATCCTGTTTACTGTTGCTTTATGTTCATCTCTTGCTTATAGCCATGATGTTTGATTCTGTATCTAGAGTGATGCTGTCTAATCACCCTCTACATGGCCACCCATGGGTGTCTATACACTCTATAGATGTTATAGCAACCCAGCTCATTGCAAGTCATATGTTATGGCCATCTTATATCTTACTGAGCTGGCATGTGTAACCCATTTTACTAGTATTTTAATGTAAACTCTTTAAGCTACTGTCACCTCAGTTCTCAGGGGGTTACTTTTAAGGCTACTCCGAGCGTAGCTCCTCTGCTCTCACCCCTGAGACTTAACTCTTACTCAACACTTTCTATACAAAATGTAAATTGTTCTGTCAAATCGTTACGCCATGCAAATGAAACACTATGCCTATTGTTAAGCTTGCTATAGCTGCTGTGGCTCAGCAAGTCAGCTTGTATAACTATGTATAACAAACATTTTTAAAAAATTTCAAAATCTGCAGGAGCAGTTATATAGTCTGTGCATCACTAAGAGCTTCCCCTGCTCCTGCTGCAAGGCATTTCCTGTGTGAAAGGCTGTTAGTGAGCAGATGGGAAGTGATCCCTTTTACTACCTGTCCAGTCTCACACACAGACAGTGGAGGAGCAAAGACAGCACTGAGTTTTAACAAATCTATAACTGTTCCTGTAGCTCTGCTATACAGGCTGACTGGAGTACAGAGGACACTAGCCAAGGCTCCTGGTTTTTGCCTCTCCCTACTAGCCAATTATAATGTGCCTTTTGAGTTTAAAGTTCTGAAACCAGGTGGCCCCTAGTGGTCAGGTGTCTACTCTGCCAAATGGGAAATCTATTGTCTGTTACAATTAAGTTTTCTGTTTCTTTTTTGGCACCTGTGATTTCATGACAAAGTCATGGATTTTGGCTGTTATTACAGGACGTGTCATCACCACATTGGGAGGGACTGATCCCAGGTTACATCTTCTCCAGTCAGTCAGAGCAGCTCGTTCACCATTTGGACAGAGCAGCTCAAAGTCTGAGGCACTGAGTCCATTCATCCAGCCAGTCCTTTCCAGATCTACAAATACATTAAATGGATCATGAGTTGTATTTCTTCAACTAACCATTTGTTGTTTTCATAAAATATACATAAATTGCAGCATAACCTGCTTCTGTTCATAATAGAATTTTTATCTAATTGGGTATAATTAAGAGGAAATAAATTATAAGCAATATCTAAAAATGTGAGGAATACAGACACGCTCATTCTTTATTGTTAGTTAAGACAGGTCCCAGCCCCCAGCATCTCTATGGCACCAGCATAAATTATATTATCATTGCAAGGTCAATGAAAACTCTGTCTTGGCAATGGGTTCTCATTCCTTACTCTAAGGAATCTCAAGCCACAATGTTGCAACACATTTTTACAAGACATTGCATCTATGATACACCAATATTCCTCTATAAAAAAAAAGAAAACACTTGCAGCTTCCTCCGATGATCAGAGTGTCTAAGAAATAATACATTTAACAAAAAAAGTATCAAGGAGTGCAGCAATAAACAATACAGTGCTTTTAAAAACAGGGCAACAGTTCGCCACATCCTTAACATCAGAACTGTTTGGAGGATGCCAACATTTGGCAAATGTTTTGTCAAGTAGTTGCGTGAGTTTAGTGTCAATATATGTTTTATTGAGAAGTATGTAAGAATAGTGTAAAAAAAGAGGACAAATAACAAAATTATGTCATCATGTATTTGTTTCTCAATTAAATGCACAGTGTGAAAGCTAAGGGGAAAAACACAAGAAAAAAGACATTCTTACCTGTTCCACCAACTAATCTCCGGAGTGTACTCCAGTCACTATAATATTAGTGAATAAACCACAAAGTGGGACTATAAATAGTAGAAACCACACTGAGGGCAGAAGATCCAAATTTAAGAAGCTGCAACATTATGCAGAGTTAGGTATTGTAATTAGATAACTATAGTAATGAATGAGTTTTGCAAACACATGATAGATTAATGATTGCACAATTCCTTACTTTTAATGTTTGCCCAAAGTGAGTGATGCTCCAGGAATGCCACATCCCCAAAGCTGCGCCCATCAGGGTCTCCAACTAGACACCTGAAAAGATAATGTGAAATCAAGTCTAACTCAGGAAATCTGTCAGAGTATTTATATCGGCAGACATTTTGTGCTATGATAGAAACTAAAAGTGTATATTCTGAGTCACTCTGAACAGACCAGACTCCATTTTGTTATTCCAAGTTAACAAAAACAAAGAGACACAGGATTTCTTTCTGTAAGACTGGCCTCTTTGCCAGAGCTAAGGAATGCATAGCATAGTATAAACAAGTGATAAGAAGAATATAATCAAATCTAAACCCAGACAATTGTGACAGAGAAGATTAAATAATTTAATATTTAACTGTCTATATATATAAGGTACCATTGTATGGAAAAGGGTAAACTTAGTTCATGATCTGTCATATCAGAAATTATGGCAGGAATTGCAGACGCTAAGTCTGGACAAAATTTAAGAAATCCTTTGAAATTTTAAATTATGGCGCTATAAAGATAACGCAAAATGACGTCAAAATAGCCACCAGGAAAAGTTAACTCTTTCCTGGATAGGTATGTTTAGTGGGACAAGACTGCCCTCTATAGACCAAATACCTAATTTGCGATCTGGAAGATAACCACACCTCTAGTGCTTCTATTGGGTTATCAACTGATGACGTACAGAGAGTATGGCCCTTTAAAAGTTAAGACAAAGGGAAGATAGAGATATACGAGAGAGGGAGGCAAGATATGCAAAAGAGACGAGAGGAGGCAGATGCAAGATATGCAAAGGAGAGGAGAGAGGAATTGGAAGTTTGGGGACTCCAACTCGGACAACATCTGAGACTAACACTCTACTCCTAAAACTCTAACACTTAGAATTTACTGACTTTCTAACCAACACCTCCATGCAGAGAGACTACCAATCGGATGAAATATCTACTCAACTGGTAATTATACTGGTTTCATTTAATTAAATTAAATTAATTAAAATGTATTAATAGCATTATATATGACTGGATAAAGCACGGTCAGATTTCCATATTAAGAAATCTTAGTAACTAAGAATATATAGTTATAAATATTCCATTCTGCAGGTGGAATTAAGAATAATTATATATTGATGTGATATTATCACGTGTTAGCATACCGCTGTTTTTATCCAGGTGTATTGATTTGCTCTAAATTAAGATAGATATCTTTTAGACAAATTAAAAATCTGCTTATATAATATTAAATTCTCTTATTGGATGGTTTAAGAAAATGACTAGTGAACTGGTTTAAATGTTATTTTATTTAAAATTACATAAGAATAGATCTTAATTACCTAGGAGATCTAGCCAGCATTGAAAGGGTTATTCTAACTGTCTGCTAAACTTTACGACCTTACGCTGCACTCTGAGGAATTCTGTTCTTCGCTGTGAAAAGTTTCACTTTAAGTCTGTGAAAGATAGTCATAAATAAAGTCTTGACAGAAAATGCTTTTTAGCCATTGAAACATAATACCCATTCCTTTGTATTGCATACCATTTTATACTGAATATTCATTGATTATTGTCATGCATGTTACATATATTATTATTAATTATTGGTTATCATAAATAAAAATCTATTTTTATATAAACTGTGAATATTATTTATATGGTATACATTTCACTTAACACGATAAACGTTCTTTGGGATCTGAGAATTGAATTAGTGGGCAATTCTCAACTGTTACTATTATTATCCCATAAATATCCCCACATATTGGAGGCACGGTGCTGAGATCGTTTAAGTTGAAATTGTATTTCATATATATAATAATATTGGTGTAATTCATGCAATTTAATCTTAATATAGAAAAGAGTTTTGTATTGAGATTAAATCAGTATAAAATAGAAATATGGCTGAATCCAGCAATACATCTGTAACAGATAATACTGAAATAATTGAAGACCTAAGAAAACATGCTCTAGTTCATATTCATAAACATATGAAAAATGATGCAACCTATGAGGTTTGGTTGAAAAGCATAGAATGGGAAGCTAAACACACCATTCTAACTGATGAACACATCATCATATATCTTAAAGAAATTGCTGAACAAAAGAACATAGAAAGGAAAATGGCGTTCATAATACACTCTTGGCCTTTCTTTATGACAGCACTTCTTAAGGTGTGTGATGAAAACAAGTCATTGAATGCCAAATTGGACACGTACAGTGACGATTTGGGCATTCAAAATGGGAAATACCAAGATTTACTTGCTGAGCATAAAACTCGTCAGGCTGATCATGAAAAAGAAATGAAAGCTTTGACGGATAAATATGCACAGGAAATAAATCAGCTTAAAATGCAATTGGATGAGTATGAAAAGGAGAGTCAGAAATTAGACAGTGAGGTTGGTAGTCATCATTCTGTGCCAAAAAGTTGCACAAAAATGCAAGAAAAGACTATTTGTAAATCCCCTCCTTATTATGATTTTCCCACACCAAACCAGGTTTTCATAAAACAGTCTGTAAGTAAAGATGTGAGTAATTCTAAAAAATCACCTGTGGAACAAGATTCCCCATCTCATGACATTACCAAGCCATCTTGGCAATCTTGGGCAGAACAGTTTGAAAAAGCTGTCTTGGCCAAACTTGAGAGGGAGAGTCCAATTCAAGATGATAGGAATGAAAACAGACATGGTTCTGTACACTGGCAGAACTCTGATGCAGATCAGAATTGTGACAGTGAACAAGAAGCTCAGAGTGATGGGAGTGAAAGTGATTGCACTGTCCACTCTGAAGGCCATGTAACTGATATGCCATCTGCACTGTTGTACGGGTCTAATTCCTCTTCAGCAGACAGATCGCATAGACGTTTACCCAAACACAGAAACAGAGATCGTAAATCAACGACGCCTGTTTATGAAACACCAAAGGTCATCAAATTCCTTAGAGAGACTGTCCCACAATTTTCTAGAGGTTCAGGAAACATATCTGAACATCTGGAAAATTATGATAGAGCAATGAATTCATTGGGTATGTATGATGACATTCACAAGAAATGGTTCATTACATGGACCTTTGATTCAATGTGCCGTGTTTATCTAGAAAGTCTTCAAGCTATACAGTTAATGTCCTGGTCCAAGATGAAATATGAAATAATCATGGAATATGGTAAGTATAAAACCATTGCCTCTGCTAAGAAGGCGCTTTATAACTTAAAGTGCCGTCCAGATCAAAGCCCCAGAGAATTTTTAATAATTCTTAAAAATGCATACTCCGTGGCCCAAAGAAAACCCAGGTATGAAAGCACAGACTTCAAAGATCTGTATTTTCATGCCATGCCGGTAAACATACAAATGAATCTCGCAAGAGATTACGATTGTAAGTTACCATTAGAATGGCTAGTCAGTCAATGCATGAAGTTGTACACTATACACCATGCACATGACGAAAATCAGCCAAAGGTTAAGAAACCTGGTGATAAAATGGTGTCAGAGACTAAAATTCAGTTAGGTTTAGAAACCCAACAGAAAAAGAGGACCTATTCCGAGGTTTTGAAAACACCAAAACCTCAGAAACAGGAAAATGCCAGAAGCAATTCTGCAAATTCCTCTGATAATAACTCTGAAAGATCCAAAGCCAATGGGAATAAACGCTCCTGGGTTAATAAGAACCAAGGCAATTCCCAATGGAGAAGGAATCCTCAGGGAAATAGGAGATATGGAAACAGAAACAATCCATCTGCTTCCAATAACTCCCAACAGTCTCAGCCATCCCAGCCAAATTCTAATGGGCAAAGACAAAACGGCAATGGGGGAAATAATTTGCGTCGTCAGGTTGGTCAATTGACTGACCAGATGGGCAAATTAATGGAGGAAATGACAAAGATTAACCAAGTCTTTGCTCTCAATCCTTTTTTAGGGATAGCTCCAATTGCAGAACTACCTGTGCAACCGCAGCAACAACAACAGGTGCCGCAGCAATAATAGCCACTGTGACTAAACAGGCTAGGTTATCAGTAGATGTAATACCTAACCCTGTTTCCTTTCCAAGTACTCATAGTCAAACAAACAATAGTTGTGTTAGAAAACCTATTGCCTATACCGTCACTTCACTTCCGGGTGAAGGAGGCGCGACGTGTTCCTCTGTTTTTTCATTTCAGCCAAAGGCTAAAGTAGCCCCAGCAGCCACTAGTTTCCAGGATCCAGACCTGAAAGGGTTAACTGATGAGATGCCGACCACTAGTTCCCGCTTGACAGTTCAAGATATTCCTAAAAGGATGGGCCTGTGGGTAAGACTGAGCATTCCTCAGTACAGGTAGAAACTACTGCTGTGACCGGTAATGTATGGAAAACAAGTAATATGTTGACACATTCTAAATTCTTATGTGAATTAGAAGAACATGAAGGAAGGTACTACATGTCTGTAGAAATACAGGATTCGCTACCCCAGCCTTTTAAAGGGTTAATAGATACTGGTTCACAAGCCACTATCTTATCCAATACCTACTTCCAGCAGGTAATGGACTTAGCAACGGATAAGCCGAAGCTAAGAGATTTCCCCAATGCTCTGTTGAGTGTAGGAGGAAATGCCCTTCATGTTATTGGCAATACCTGGTTAAAGTTTAAAATAGGTAACAAAACCTTTAGACACCCGGTGATAGTGGTAGATCTCCCCTATGACCGACTGATTCTGGGTATAGACATACTCAGAAGACTTAACACAATTATTGACTGTGTGAATGGAATTGTATGGTCACAAGCTAAGGTTCCCATAACCTATGAGAAATCACATGTTCAATCTGATTGTAACTGCCATGTGATAGAAGAAAGACCTGACTCGATTGAGGTACATTTTAGAAATAGTCAGTCACCTGATGTGACTATCCTGCAGGTGAATGATGCAATCGCACCTGTAGATGAGCATTCCGTAAGAATTGCTCCAGAGAGGATCCAGAATGTCTCTCTGGAAGGTGATGTTTTAACTATTTCTCTCCACAGGGACTATGTTGAATCTGTAGATCTGGCAGGTCATGCTCAATTCCTTGCCAGAATTGAAAGGGTTAATAACAACCTATTCTTTCCTATGCAAATAAATGATTTAGGAAGAAGTAGGAATGCAAAGCTGGACTTACAGAGTGAGAACAGCTATATTAGCAGAAGTCTGTTAAAGCAGATCGCTAATCCTAAAATGATCAGGTACGCTTCCCCACATGACAGGTGGATCCAGAACCTGGATGGCGAATCAGAGAGTCACAATGTGATAGCAAAGTGTTTACTATCTATTTCCATCGGAAATAAGACAGTTAAACATTTATTCTTAGTGATAGACGAACCTCGCTATCAGGTTTACGTTGGCAATGATGTCATACATCGCTTTGCCATACACCTTGACCTGATTAATTCCAATTTGTGGACAAGGTTAAAAGGTAATCCTTGTGGATACCTACACGAGGAAAACGCCCTGAAATCAGGACAAATACTCCCATATGCGGTAAGTATCCAAGTTCCTGATGACATAACCATTCCCCAGGGGACAAGTAACTTTCTTTTACCCCTACAGGTCAAGGAGGGTCAGAGATTAGAAAACTCTGATGCCCTAATCTGTTTATCCAACAGGATACAACAATTAGGGATGGTGGTAATACATACACCAATGGTAAGTATTGGTAAGAATCCCACCTATATCATGGTCAACAATGTTACACCCAATAGTGTTACTTTACCAAAAGGAACATTATTAGGTCTAGCATTGGATGCTGAGTACTATACATTTGGTTTCCAAAACCAAATTATAGGCCTCATCCCTGAAGAATACTTAACTGAGGACGAAATTGTCGATCAAATATTCCATTCCTCCCCAGAAGGATTATTCACTATCCTATCTGTATATCCCTTCAACGATGAAGAAGGCTCGTGTAAAATCGAAGAAGCATCAATTACCTTCGATCATCCGCTCAATGAGCAGGAATCACAAGAGTATCTCGACCAAAGAGAAAAGGTAAGTCAACACCGAACTGACCTAACTTCTAGGCTTGAAGAAGCTTATGAGATAGGCCAGCCTGAAATCTTTCCAGGATTTCAGGAAAGGCTAGAAGAGCAAATATCTTTAGCTGACGGTTGCTCCAACGATGCTGAGCGGCAACAGCTAAAGGAAATCCTTTTGGAATTCCAAGATATTTTTGCCAAAGATTCCTACGACTGTGGGTTAACTAACCTCCACGTAGCCAGAATACAAACCGATCCAAATTTACCACCTGTATTTATCAAACAATATAGACTCCCATTAGCGTCATATGATGGTCTACAAGACATCATTCAGAATTTAAAGGAAAGGGGCATTATACGTCCAGTGCACAGTTCGTATAATAATCCGATCTTAGGGATCCTGAAACCTAATGGACAATGGCGTTTATGCGCTGACTTACGACAGCTAAATAAACGCGTCTATATGTCTGGTTGGCCAACGCCATACATAGACCAATGTTTGGTACAAATGCAGGGATCCAAAATATTCACTGCCATTGACTGTGCGCAGGGATATTGGACTGTACCAGTCCATAATGAAGACCAATACAAATTGGCCTTCACATTTGGAAAGCAACAGTATACCTGGACCCGTATGCCTTTTGGTTATATAAACTCTGGTCATGAATTCGCTGTGTTCATGCATAAAGCTATGCCTGATGCACTCGAGAGAGGAACGTTATCATATGTCGACGATGTCTTGCTGAAAAGCACTTCCTTTGATAAGCATATCTTAGAGATTAGACATGTTCTCACTCAGTTAAGGGAGGCAGGAATAAAACTGTCTTTACAAAAGGCACAATGGTGTCGCACCCATGTCAATTTCCTCGGACATGAGGTAACTTCTGAAGGATTAAATCCCCAGAGGAAGAAGGTTGAAGCCGTACTTAAGGCTAAAACACCTTCAAACATCAGGGAATTAAGATCGTTCCTTGGTATGACTAACTACTCCCGTAAGTTTATAGATAACTATGCAGAAATAACTAAACCACTCTTACACCTGCTTAAAAAGGAAACTACCTGGAACTGGGGGGAACCTCAGGACCAAGCGGTAAGTGAACTGAGGAGGAAGCTCACTCAGGCACCCTGTTTAGCATACCCAGAGGGGGGTAAACCGTTCTATCTGGAGACAGGATATACCGATTTAAGCATAAGTGCTGTTTTGTATCAGAAGCAGGACAGTTTAAACAAAGTTATTGCATATGCTAGCAAGACTTTGTCACCTGTTGAAGTTAAATTCAACACGTGTGAGAAAGCGTTATTATCGACTGTCTGGGCACTACAAAATTTTCGTAGCTATATCCAAGGTGAGAAAATAATTGTAGAAACAGCTCACCAACCTCTACAGTATCTGCAGAGTGAAAGAATTAGAGACGGTAATCTCTCTAACAGTCGGATTACTGCATGGACTCTATCCTTACAGGGATGGCCGTTAGAAGTCCGTTATAAACATAATAAGATAAGCCCAGTTGCCCAAGGTTTAGCAGAATTACATGACTGTACTGCTCCATCTCTGGATGATAATAACACCGGAGATGACTTCCTAGAAGAGCAATTGCTATCTCCTTATAAAGTTTATGACGAGGAATGCTGTCGACCACTACCGTGGGTATACATTGATGGTTGTTCATATCACCACGTCGCTGGTGCTGAACGGAAGTTAGTTGCAGGTATCGGAATCGCCTGGACAGGTGATTATCCCAATGTATCTATAGGATATAATATTGGTCCCAAAAGCAGTCAGATAGCCGAACTCTGTGCCGTATATAAGACCATTAAAATGGCAATAGAATATGGTATCAAAGAATTTGTTATTATAACTGATTCCAACTATGTTCGCAACAGTTTCGTCGAATATCTGCCTAGCTGGAAACGTAACCAAATGCTGAAAAGCAATAACAAACCTGTTAAACATGGGAAATTGTTTTGTAAAATCGATGAACTGGTTAAGGAAAATGGTTTAACCATATATTGGAAGAAAACCAAAGGCCATTCTAAAATAGAAGGTATTGACAAGGATAGTAATGACTTAGCCGATTCACTGGCAAAACAAGCTGCCATCAATGGTGAAACCCTAAACATTGATGATCTTATGGGTTCAATTCATGTTGAAGCCATAACTAGACGACAGGCTAGAGATAATGCCGACTTAAATGTCGTGCAATGGAGTCAAGAAGCTCCTAGTGAGGACCTGATTACTAGTCAAAAGAACGATCCCATCATAGGTATTTTCTATAGACATATAGAAGACCCTACTACCAATCCCATCACAGATGAGGATTGCAAAGATAATGAAGATTTACGAATCTTGATGAGATATAAAGTACAATTTAGTATCATGGATGGGTTACTGGTCAGAACTTCTAAACATGGTATACAACAATGGGTAGTCCCAACTGTATACAGAGGGTTAATGCTCCAACACGCTCATGATGCACCTACATCTGGGCATCGTGGTGATAAGATCACATATGAGATATTGCGTGATTATGCATATTGGCCACACATGTTAAGGGATGTTAAGACATACTGTCAGGGATGCTTGATTTGTCCGCAATATCAACCCCATGGTCCAACCCATAGTGCACCACTTCAGAAGAGGGGGGTGTCATTACCCTGGTCTGATATTCAAATTGACTTTATAGGTCCTGTAACAAGATCTTCAAGAGGTAACAAATACATGTTAACCGTTACATGTATGTACACAAAGTGGATAGAATGTTTGCCTTGAAAAGAGAACACGAGTACCGTGTGCGCCACTTTGTTGATTAACCATGTCTTTTCCAGGTTCGGTCTGCCTCAAAGAATTGAGTCAGACAGAGGTAGTCATTTACCAGCGAAGTAATGGCTAAGATGTGGAACATTCTAGGTGTTAAACGAAAGCTACATATTGCATACCGCGCTGCGTCTAGCGGGGGGGTAGAGCGATATAACCACTCTATCGTTAATATTCTAAAGAAATATGTTAAGGAGTCTGTTAAAGACTGGGACATTAAATTGCCCCTAGTTTTAATGGCGATTAGAGCTACACCTAGCACTGCTACCAAATTGTCACCTTTTGAATTGATGACAGGAAGAAAGATGGTTTTACCACAGCATTTACTATATCGGATCATAACTTGATCAATGCTGCCACTACACATCAGTATATCGAAGATTTGCACAAACATTTACAGCATGCGTTTGCTTTTGCCCAAAAGAATCTAGAAAAAGCAGCGACAGGGGTTAAGACCTATTACGATCTAAAAACCACGAAAAAGGAATATGAGATCACAGATCAAGTCTATCTGTATAACTTTGCGCGAAATCAAGTAAAGGAAAAGAAATTTTTACCTTCTTGGAAAGGGCCATATGTCATCATTGACAAAATTTCCCCAGTAGCGTATAAGATAAAAATTCCTAAGGATGGTGATTTTATTGAAAAGTGGGCTCACATTAACCAGTTGCGTGCTTGTCATCCTAAATCTCAATTAAGGATTATAGGTGTGGATTCAGACGCAGAAGGGTGAACGACTAACCTGGATGAATGCTTGATTCACGTGGTATAGTATGATGTGAAATGTTGTGATGTGCCATGATCTCATGTACGTTCATGTCATTAACCATTTCCTTGCCATCCAATAACTACATTTTCTAAGCAGGTTACTAGCTATAAGCAAATTACTGAAGAGTCAGTAATAAATGTAGTGAGGGATGAAGTTATAAAAATAGAATTAGACAGAATACATATGTTGATGAATCGTAATAATGTGTTGTCCTAGGCCAAGTGATGTCACACTGTTATAAGTTTGTATGCTTAACAAACCTTGAATCATTAGTAGATAAGTCTAAACGAGTTCCTGATCCGTGACTGTCGAAAGATGTCCAAGAAGGATGTGGCGTGTTTCTGGATCGTACTGCTCCTGTGCCAAGAGCTACGGACCGACCCGATCGCAGAGATGGGACCATCCTCCGGTATCCTGATTCAAGAGACACCAGGGTTCATCTTGACAGAGAAGAGGATCCTGACCCGATGTGTGTTCGTCAGCTTGGACCCCAAGATTTCCATCGAGAAGGCATACAACATTTCATCGATGCAGCTTCCTGAGTTACAGACTTGGTACCAGATGCACCTCCAAAGAGCACAGGACCGTGTGCGAAACATCTTGGAGCAAGCCCGGAAACCATTTGTATCCAGTTCTATTCCGATGAGCAACCGACCCCAAAGGTTCCTCAC